GATGATGATGATGTGTTGTTGAAAAACGTAGATAACGTAAAAGCAAAACACCAAATATGGCAATTGTTGCTAATCCAATACCAGCTACTTGTAACGTTGTTCTATCCTGTGGCAGACATCGATGAATAATACTACAGATTGAACATGGAACAAAAAACATTATAATTATATGTAACAAATGATTCGACACTTACTTCATATTACGTGCTAACCATGAATTAGTTGGTTTTACCAACAAAAGATGTACTAATTTATTTAGATTTGGATATGCTGCCATTGTTACTAATTTTTCATAAACTTCTAATGCTCCATTAGCAGCGATCATTGATGATCCAGATCCAGATGAATCATTAATTTCATTAATGGCCGAAAATTTATGTAATGGTGTTAGTTTATTTGTAAGACAAAATTCATCCGGTTGTAATGGATAATTTTGTTTTACTTGTGTTAAATCTTTTTTCGATGCGACTAGCAATATAGGAAGTTTTGTATTATGAAAGTTTTTCTAATTTTTTGAATTAAGAGGGGGAAAAAATTTTCAATGAAAAATTCATAATGAAAACAAAAACAAAAACAAAAACAAACCATATAAGTCTTGGCAATCACTTGAAAAGATGAACTATCCGATTGATCAAACATCATACAACAAACATCACAAAATAATTCAGGTGTTTTTAATAATGTATTGACGTTGATCACATCGATTTCACGAATCTAACAAACAAACAAAAAAAAAACATTCAATAATTATGTCATGCTTCTATATCTGGTTATTCTAATTACTTACAATTAGATATTTTTTCTGTCCATAAACAGTAATTGTATTAATAACATAATCATTATAATTATTATCTAATAATGATGATGATGATGATCGTTGTTGATTAAGATTTGTAAATTTTTGTTGTTTATTAATAAAACGACGCATAAAACAACTTTTACCAGCACCTTTTGGACCAACCAGATTACAAAGAAAAACATTACGTGCAGTTTGTTTTTCATATTGATCCATACGACGATCTTTGATAACTTTTGAATTGAAAAAAGAATTGAATTTGTATGATTCAAAAAAAAACTAATCAAAAGAAACAAAACTTACTATGTAGTGCGGATATTTGACTTTTTTCACCCGATACAAACATATAACCAAATAGGCTAAGATATTTCAATGTTTGTCGAATATCAATAAATGTTGTTAATGTCCAAATTGATAAAAATCCTTGTAATGTAATCCAACCACGTTCATTTGTATGAACAATTCGTTGATAACTTTCACTGGTAAACCATTTTGGATATTGTTCCAAATCAAAAATTGTAAACATTGATGTCAATTCATTTGGTGATAATGCACCATCTTGATCTTTATCATATTTATGAAATAAATTTGTAAAAAATTGATAACCTTTTGGTGATAATTCAAAAAAACTATCCGTAGGTAAGGCTGAATTTGGATAAAGATATTGATCATCAAGTGCTACGCTATTATTATAGCCAAATTTTCTAAGTACAATCCAAATAAGTTCATGTCGGCCACGTTGAATAAAAAATGTTAACAAAAACATAAACCCCTGTAATGTAATGCCATTTTCGGAAACACCATCCGGAATGATACTTTTTAAAATATATTTAACATCATCAAGTGTTTGACTTAGAAGATATGAATCAAAACAATATGTTTGAAAATTATTTAGTTCCAAATCGTTCAATATTCCATCATTATCAAGATCACAAATAGTAAATATTCTTTTCAATGCTATTTTACAATTATCTGAAAGCTTTTTTTTGGTGGAAAAAATTTGAAAACAAAAAACAAAACAAAGTCAGTTTAGATTCAATCAATCAGGAATCAAAAAAGAAATACATACTTCACGTTCTTCAGGATAATAAATCGGTGTAACCGGATAAAGTACAGTTTTTTGTGCATAATAAAAAATTTCCGAAAGATTATCCAGATTTTTTGCTGAACACTATATTTTCGAATGGAACAAAATAATTTCGAATGTTAGTGAGAAAAGGAAAACATTCGAAACAAAAAAACAAAAAACAAACCTCGACACAAATTTCAATTTCTTTATATTGATTCATTAATGGTAAAACTGTATCAATAGAACTATATTCGACTAGGTCGGATTTATTACCAACTAAAATAATTGGTATTGAATGATTTTCACCTAAACGTTGATGTATAAGTGGTAACCAATATGTTGATATTTTATCAATAGTCACTTCATTATCGATAGCATATACAATACAAATAACACTTGCACGTTGTAATTCTTCATATAGATCTTTTTCCGATTGTTCTTGTGCTGAATAATCAACAATAACCGTTGGTATATTGACCGGTGTAACTTCAGCCGGAATTGTTATCTCTTCAAATTTTGCCGGTACTTCTTCATCAAATTCTTCGAATACAAGCGAATAGATCATTGATGTTTTACCTACTTCACCTGATTGATTATCGATTGCAGTAATCAACAGGTAAGTAACAAAATTAAATGAAAAACAAAAATAAAATATTTGATATTCTGTTGATTATTATGGATCAAAACTTACGTTCGCCGACAAGAAGTATACGAACGGTTGAATCATTTGCATGCGATTGATCGTTCATTGTGTTTTGGTCTTATATTAGATGAACGATTTGACGCATTAGGATGGAATTTTAATCGTTGATTGATGATTAAAAACGAAAAACAACAACAACAACAACAATAAAAAATATCCAAAGTACAAAATCGCAATAACCCAAAAAAAAAAATAACGGCCAATATGTACTTTGTGCTCACACACGGACAAACACAAACACAATACAGAACATGTTGAAACATTCTGGATACATTATTTATACAGGAAAAGTTTTTTTTTTTGGAAATTTTTTGTTTCAATGTATAAATTTGTTGTTTTTTCAAAAAACAAACAAATTGATCACGTGATTAGGTTAGGTTAGTTTGAATGGCTAACTGAGGAAGGGGAATTCCATTGTGAGGTTAGGTTAAACACATTTTTGACATTTTTGAGTTTTTCCTTCAATATATAGCTTTTTTTGATTAAATTTTTTTAAATTAATTTTTTTAAAAGCAAAAAAAAAATTTTTACAAAAAAAAAAAAAAAAAAATCCTGGATGTAGAATCCCATCCATATTAGGGACATCATAAATTAAGGAAATATTCCTGGATCTAAGGTTACTATGATATTTCCAGTGAAGAAAAAAAAATAGCCATGGTTGTGACCTAGTTTTTTTTTTTNTAAAAATATTTTTTTTTAAATTAAATTTTTTTTAAATTAATTTTTTTAAAAAAAAAAAAAAAAATTTTTAAAAAAAAAAAAAAAAAAAAATCCTGGATGTAGAATCCCATCCATATTAGTGACATCATAAATTAAGGAAATATTCCTGGATCTAAGGTTACTATGATAATTCCAGTGAAGAAAAAAATAGCCATGGTTGTGACCTATTTTTTTTAGTTTGGTTTGGTTTTGCATTGAAAAATGCACAAGGTTGTTGTTGTCATTATTTTGCCTGGATTCTTCCCCCCCCACACACACACGCACACGGAAGAATTTTATCAAAAAAAAAGTTTCAATGAAATTCTGGCACTCAGATTTTTTTTTCTTTTTGCTCTCTCTCTACCTCTCTCTCTCTCTCTCTCTCTTTCTCTCTCTTTCTCTCTCTCTCTCTCTCTCTCTCTCTCTCTTTCTCTTTTTTTTTTTTTCTTTCTCTCTCTCTCTCTCTCTCTTTGGTTCTGAGAATCCAGTCGATTCCGGTTTCTTTTTCTGGTTATAAATCAACGATGCAACGTCGTAGAGAAAATGAAAAAAATGGCTGCTGCTGTTGTTGTTGTCCTTGGAATAAAATACATTTTGTTGTTGTTGTTGTTGGGTATATAGAATGTGAGCGGAAAGAATTTTTTTTTTCAAAGAGAATCTTGTGAATATAGGCCAAATGAAAAAAACTGAACCAAACATGAATCCAGAATATATTCTGGTTTTCAATGACAACAAGATGATATAGTGCGCCTGAACTGAACCAAACAATCATCATCATGGATTCACCATTAGCCGAATGACCGAATTTACTATTATCATCATCATCATCATCATCATTCGAACGGAAAAAAATAATATGGTCAGACATGCGCAGATTTTCATTCGAACGATTATTCTTGAGCTGTAGTTTCGTTTCATTTCGTTTTTTCTGTGATCTGTTTTAGATGTTAGTTGGTCATCTGACTTGGATTGAACATCGAACATTTTTATATTTTCGACGGTGTAAAAGTTTGGTTATTCGAACCCGAATAAGCGAAAGAAAAAGATTTTTTGGATTAAGCGAAGTGGTGTTTTGTGACATTGAGAATCCTGATTATCATTGATTTTGGATCACCATCATTATCATATCAATGGTTAGGTGTTTGTGTCAAGTTTACCAGCAACAGAATCAGCAGCAGCAACAGAATCCAGTCATATCGTCATCATCAAGAATCTGTGCAGCAAGAAAATCAACAACCAAAATTTATTTTTAGAACATATCTTTTTTTTGACGGTTAAATATCTTTTTGTGGTGTTGGTGGTGATAGTGTGTGTGTCTGTGTGCGTTTGGCATCCAAGAAACAATCGTTAAATTGTCATTGTTTTTGTTTTTTTTTCATTGAACGGTGTTCTTTGTTGTGATGGTGACATTTCTCAATTCATTCGAATGTCAGTTTGAGCGAGCGAGTGAGCGAGCAAGATTTTTGATGCGATTTTTTTCTTCTTCTTTGACTTCCTTTCATCCATCCATCCATCATTTGACCATTTGATTTGGATTCGACATTTATTCACTGTTTAACCTAACCTTTCGATAGATTGTTTTGAAAAAATTTTTTTTTTAATGTTCGAAAACGATAATAGCGCCACCACCACCATCATCAACAATATGCATGAAGAAATACAAGTTGCATTAAATTTTCTTATATCTTTCCTGTATAATAAACTACCTCGTCGTCGTGTTAATCAATTTGGTGAAGAATTAGAATTAATATTAAAAAAACGTTTTATTGATCATTGGTATCCATTAGAACCATCAAAAGGTTCAGCATATCGTTGTATACATTGTAATCCACAATTAGATTCATCATTATTTCGTGAAGCAGCACAAAAAAGTGGTCTAAATTTACAAGATGTTCAACAAAATTTTCCAAACGAATTATCAATTTGGATTGATCCGGGTGAAGTTTCATATCGTATCAATGAAAAAGGTCCGGTTAATATATTGTTTAGTTTGAATAAACAAAGATTATCATTGAATAATAATAATGGTGAATCAACAACAACAACAACAACACCGACAATTATCAATGGATTAAATCCAGAAGCTCAATGTTTTCAACCTGAATCCAAACAATTTATTATCAATAATGATAATAAATTAATGATTAATCATGATCATCATCAATCGCAATTGAATAAATCGATTCCGGATATTTTTAATAGCCACCATAACAATAATAATAATAATAACAGTAAAAATGATGCTATTACTTTTACTACGGCTGCATTTGCTGCAACAAAATTTGGTTCAACTAAACCTAAAGTAATGATGGCAAATCGTAAACAACAACAATTCCAACAACAACAACAACAGACACGATCGATACCAATCGATGGTCCAAAATTTTTGACAACCACCAATGCTACGGCAACGAATGCAAATCGTAAATTTCATTTTAAACCAGTTTCACGTGCAAATTCATTCAGTAACAGCAGCAGCAGTAACGGACAAACGTTTTCTCACTGCCATCCATCACTAACATCACCGTTATCATCGAGTCAACAACAATCGCATAGTGGTAGTGATCTACTTAATACAGTTATGAATAATCTTGCGATCGTAAATCAAAATCGCCATAATGGCCAATCGCAACAAATTCTAAACAACCAACAGCAACAAAAGATGCGTCAATTGATGCAATGGAACAACAATAACAACGAAATCAAATCTGCTTTTGATCGTGAACAATGTATGTTGGGTTTATTCGAACAGCAACAACCGCAAATGCAACGCAATTCGTTTGACGTATTTCCACCAAATTCGTCCAATATGAATTGGAATCAAACAAATCAATCGAATGGTGGTATTCAACGATCAATATCAATGATATCCGATCATGGAAATGATTACAATAATGGTGGTGGTGGTGGTGGTAATAATCTTTTGCTCGAAACATTTATGCCCGATAAATTATTACGTGAAATATTTGAAATTGGTAACAATGATGATGATCAGGATCATAATCATGATGATTCAAATGATAATCTTTTAATGATGTTTAATCAAAATCAATCACCACCGGAATTAATTTCACCCACATCGGAAATACCGTTTGGATTATCATCAACAACAACAACAACATTACCACCATTATTATCATCATCATGTTGGTCATCATCATCGGCTGTTGAAAGTAGTAACAATAGTAACAATAACAGTAGTAGTATAACACCACAATCATTATCATCATCATCATTATTATTGAATATTTTAAATGAATTTGATAATCTAAGTTTAAATTCAACAAGCGAATCATCATCGATTGGTTCGATTGCATCATATGTTCAATGAAATTAATGAAATAATTTTTGTTTGTTTGTTTGTTTTTTTCTTCACAGGAAAAAAACAAAAAGTGCGTGTGCGTTTTTTCACAGTCTTCAATTTTTCTCAAATTTTTTTTCTCTTGTTTTTTTGTTTTTTTAATTTTTATTTTTATACCTTTTAATTAATTAATTAACTAAATAATTAACTAAATTATAATCATTATTATTATAAACAAAAAAAACTATTTATAAAATTTTAAAATTTATCCGTTTTTTAATTATAATCAATTATATATTTAATCAATTTATTTTGCAAGTTTGTATTTTCACAATTTTTAAAAACAATTATGCTAGGTATTTTTTCTGTTGTTGTTGTCGTTGATTTTTTAATTTAATTTTCTCTTGAATCATCCGATATTTAACATTATCCATTTTATTTATAAAAAATATTTTATTCACTTGTAATCATTATCATTATTTTTTTAAAAATTTATTTTAAAACACATCTTTAATTAATAATTTTGAGCTGTAATTTTTTGAGTTGTTAAATTAATTTATAATAATAATAATATCATCATTATTCAATATCTATAATCTTTTTGAATTTAAAATTAATTAATTACAAAAAAAAATTATAATTTATAAAAATAAAAATTTTAATAAAATCTTCTTAAAAACTATCGATACTTTCAAACAAAACAATCGATTCTTTTTGTTTAGGATTCTTTACTCGCAAGATACTCAAATGTGTGTCTTGTGTAGGTGTATTGCCATCATGGCCATTGCATCTATTATCGTCGTCGTCGTTGTTGTTGTTGTTGTTGTTTTCGTTGGTTAAATTTGTGATAAAAGAGACACTGTTTTTTTCTCTGTTTGTTTGTAATACAATTTGGCATTGAATCATATATCGTTTTGTTTTGATTGTCACCGAATTCAGAATGCCGGAATAGAATATTCTACCATTCTATATTTTACATGTCATCATCAACAACGAAAACAATTTACCGATTTAGTTTTAGCAACGATATCAGCCTACTGAATTCCATTCATAATTTTGTTTTGTTTTTTTATTCTGGATAATCTATTGCCTGGGTAAGACAACCAAACCTCACACTTAAAAAAACAATTCGGGTCGATTCAGTTCATTCACAAATTAAACTCGTTATTGCCAAAAAATAAAAAACTACTGATGATGATAATGGTGATGGCGGTGGTAGCATTTCAAATCCTAATGAAAAAATAGAATAAAATTCATCAAAAACAACAACCGAAAATTTTTTGAAATCTTTTAATTCTATTTATATAACTGGATTCGAATATCGACGATGCCAAGCAAGCATTTATACAAAAAAAAAAGTAAATGATGTGGTTGGTAGTAGATGCCAATCGTGGTATTCGATGATATTCTTTTACTTCTTGTTTTTTTTTTGTTGTTTGTTTGTTTGGAATCATTATAGCATCAGGAATTTGTGTTGTGTTGTGTTTGTGTGTCTATTCGATCGATTCCACATGTTGTTTTTTGACATGATTTTTTTTGCTTAGCTAAAAAAAATGTTTGATTCGAGGTACACTTGTGTTGAATTATAGAAATCCAGGGTAATGTTGTTGTTTTAGGAGGCAATATCTATGCCTAATGTCTATTCTATTTTCTAGCCAAATTGGTTTATATTCCAGGTTTGTGTAAAGTAAAGTCTCTATATAAATGAAGAATGGGCTTATTGCCAGAATTATCATCATCATCATCATTATGCTGTTTTAGTTTCGGTTATCATGATGATCGTCAATCGTCATAGTCGTCGAACAGAAAAACAACATTTCGTACCTATATTATAATACACAACATATCACACCATCCGGGCTGCCAACGCCAATTTTGCTTGCCTGGTTGCCTATATTCTGTTGTGCCTGTTGTTGGTTTGTTGAAGGAATGTTGCTTAATTCACGATTCATACAAACAACGATTTCATCAAGACAGGCAAGCCACATAACCATCTGAATGAAAGTGTTTCTTTTTGGCTATTGCATTACGATCGAATGAGTGTGGCTTCAAATCGTAACCGAAATCAATCAATTTTTGACCAAAATTTTCTATCATTATACACAGAGAAAATTATCATCATTTTGATCATCAGTAATCATGAATCAACAACCCGAAATGATGATGGTCGACCAGCCGATTATAGCCGAACAACAACAATCATCACCACAATCGGTAATCGATTCTGAATCAATTACACATAGTGCAATGACAAAGAATAAAAAATCATTAAATATTAAATTATTGATGCGTCGTCCGATTGATGTTTTAGTTGATCAGGGTATTCTTCCACGTAAGTTATAAATTGTTGTTTTCATTGATTGCATTTATATTGATTTTGTTTGTTTTTTGGCAGCACCAAAATCATCACCATCATTTTATGAACAAAAACAACGTTTAGAACGTGCAAAAACTGGTGATTATTTAAAACATAAAATTCAACGACGTCCACAACGTGATGAATTAGTTCAACAGAATATTTTGGAACAAGAAATATTTGATCCATCATATTATGAACAAGAACGTAAACTTAAACGAGCTAGATTGGCCGATGATCTTAACGAAAGACTTTCACATCGTCCCGGTCCATTGGAATTGATTAAAGGAAATATTTTGCATGCAGATCTTTCACTGGAACAAGCAATTAAAGAAGGACAAATTACATTTAAAAAAACATGTGAAGGTGAAATAATTAAAAATCCACCAAAACGTTTTGTATTTGAAGAAGAAAGTAGTTCAGATTCATCGATACCATCACCTTCGATCAATAATCTTGGCCAACAACAACAACAACAGAATCGTCTGATCACTAACAATGTACCTTCGTATATTTTGTCAAATACGACACCATCCGCTAGTCTTATGTCGATATCGTCGACGATTCAAACAGAACCACCACCATTACAACAACAACAACAACCCTCAACTACTGTGATTCCTACAGCAACCTTATCATATATTATGACCACAAATGTATTGACGCATCCAAACAATTCAACTGTTTTTATAACTACCGCATCAAATCCAACTACAGCTACAATAGCTCAACCAAATAGTTTGATAACATCCACACAAATCGCTAATAACATTCAACAATCGCAACAACAACAACAACAGCCACAGGTATTATCATCTACAGCCACTATTAATAATAATAGCGGTTGTCAGAAATTTGTTGGACCATCATCACAACATACAATCAATAGTATTCAAAAACAATCATCCGAAGCAAACGCTCAAATAATTTCACAACCAAAATCTAAATCATCAAAAAAAATCAAATCCAAATCGACACCTAAAACACGTGTTATTAAATTTCATGAATATACTGGACCACCGTCAAGTAATAATGGTAATCGATCGACCAAAACAAATCAAACAGCATCAGGTTGGACATCAAATCCGATGACCACATCAATTGAAACATCATATGAATTACTACTTAAACAACAGCAATTAATTCTTCAATGGCAGCTTGAATCACAACAACAGCAGCAGCAACAACAACAACAACAACAACAAAATTCTACTAATCAACAATCGATTCCTGCTGCAAAGGTATGTTTTTGATTTAATGAAAAATGTTGTTCGTTTTTTAATACCAAAAATTTCATCTGCTATCATAGAATGATAATCATGATAAACGTTCAAATAGTCCGCAAATTAAATCGCAAAAATCCACACCGCCAATGTCATTATTTGATTTTGTCGATCCAAATGTTTTTGGTGGTGATTTTAGCAGCAGCAGCAGCAGTATCAAGAACAATGGTAATAAAACGAATGATTCAAAAACAACAACAACAAAAAATGTTCAATCACAAAATAAATTGAAAAATAGCGATTTAAATTGTCAGACGCAACATCGACAACAACAATCACAACAGCAGCATCCGCAACAACAACAACAGCAACGAACCAGTCCTATTAAAAGTACAAGCAACATATCGAATGTAAAGAAAATCATATCGAAATTAGAAGATATGAAAGTAAGCGATCTAAAAGCTGAATTGAAAAAACGTAATCTACCGGTATCTGGTGCGAAACAACAATTAATCGAAAGATTGAAACCATTTTCCGATTCAGTTGTGGTCAATATTTTGGCCAATGCTAATCGAGAAACATTGAACTTAACTATGTTGGCAAAAAATGGCGCAACACAGCCGCAGCCTTATATTTTTCAACAGAATGTTAGCTTGAATCAAACGAACAGTAAACAGCCGACAGCTCAAGATTTTGTTCTGCTGGCTACAACTAATCCTACCAATAATGGCCTTACCACTGAACCAGTAACCATATTGAATGCTGCTCCAGCATCGAATATTACAATGGACGGTCGGACAACTATACCGTTGACTATACCGATCGGTCAAACTACATTCATACCGACAGCACAATATCAATTTCTATCGTCATCAAATACTGCCAATTCGAATGTTTTGGATGGCAGCAAATACCGTATGAATACGAATACAATTTCTTCGCCGGCTATTCAATTGCCCAATAATTTCTTGATTAGTGGACCAACCGGTCAAACGATAAATGATTCGTCGAATACAATGACCATTTTAACATCACCTTCTCGAACAATTCAGCTTGCGCAATTGGCCGATTCGTCATCGTCGTCATTGAATTTTGGATCAACATTTGTTACGCCAACGAATACTGCCAAATTGTTTAACATCGGTCAAAACTCTAGCCCCATGTTTCATCAATTGCTTCTGTATCCTTCAACAGCAACAACTACAATCATCAATTCGGACAATGAAACACGAAAACAACAACAACAACAATCTCATCGTTCAAATTCTTTTCCAGCTGATTCATTACATCCGCTTCAAAGGTAGATATTTGTTTATATTTTGGAATGAATTTTAATCTGTTTCAATTTTTCTTTTCGTTCACAGAAATACTTCCTTACCTTTGATTATCAATCAAATGCCAATCGATACTAACATTAAACCACTGATTAAAGTGACTGATAATATTGAACAACAAACAAATAAACCTCTGATACCTGTTATGAAAAGTGCAAGTGATGATAATTTTCAATTCAAAATACCTGCCGCTTTAAAATCACAGGACATAAAACAAAAAGATTTGAAACAAAACAAAAAGTCTTCGGTAGAAAATAGTAAGCCTGCTAAACTAGCAGAATCGTTGTTGGATCAACAAATACCAAATCAAGCTACTGTTCCTGCATTATCGAGTACAAACGATTGTGATAGCGATAAAAATGTTAAAGTCCATACGACTACGACCACCAGTAGTGATCAACAATCACAGCAACCAGCTCAACAACATCCACAGCCAGATTCGACATCCAATCTGGATTTTGATGATTTTATTCTTAACTTTGATGATCTTAACGGATTGGATGATGTCCCACCACCACCACCACCACCATCATCATCAAACTCGTTAGCCACAAATAACAAACTAATGACAACTAATTCCAGAGAAAATGGCCTAATCGATTTCAATGATAATTGGCTACTTTCGGATTACAATTTTTCGACTGCTAACGATTTGTATATGCAACAACAACAACAACAACCACCACCACCACCTGTCAAATCAACGAATCAGATAACTGATATGTCAATGGATTCGACATCTACTGATCAATTATTTGAACAAATTTTTGATATGCAACTTTCACAACAACAACAACAACAAAGACAGCATTCAAACAATGGCATTTATAATACACAAATGGCTATGAATATGGACCAAAATTTAAACGATTTTACCACTAACAATATTGTCAACAACAACAACCATCAACATCATCATAATATTGTCGATTCAGATTTTCAATTATTCAATTATTTATCTAATCCATTACAACATTCATCAACATCTTCATCCACGACATCAACATCATCATGTTCAGCATCGACAGCATCATATTCAACAGGTTTGAATGGCAACAACAACAATGGCAATAATAATCTATTATCATCATCATCATTAGATCGATTTAGTGATCTATTTTTTTCGGATGATGGTGGTAATGATGATCTAATGGAAAAATCATCATTAGATTTTTCCTGTTCACTTTTTGAAAACAACAACAATAATAATAATACAAATGGTCGAATAGATTTTGCAACCTAAATGTGCAATATTGATGATGTTGATGATCCATCTTGAAATTTGTTAAATTTTTTTTTCGTCATTCCTTGAATTATCGATGTTTATTCCCCCTGTTGTTGTTGTTATTTATTTATAAAATTATCATTTAAATAATGTCTGAATGATAATATTTTGATAGATCGACCACATGTAAATAACGTTGGACCACTCCCTACATGTCACACACAAACACATTTTCATAACATGCATACGATACATGCACCATTAACCAGAGAAATTTGAATGCATTTTATCAAAAGCGCCCGGTATTTTTTTCTTCTTCTCTGTCTTGATTAGATATTAATTATGTAATTGATTTGATAATGATGATCAGCTCATCGTTTTTTTTCTTCTCATTTTTTCTCATTTTTTTCTGCTTGTCGCTTTTTGCGATTGTTTCGTTTGTTTTGTTTTGTATAAATTAATGCATTTGGAAATTTAATTAATTTCAGAAAAATTTGTGTTGAATAAATTTAATTAAAACAAAATTTAATTTAATTTATTTGTTTTTTCGATTTGAGAAATTCTGACTACACTAAGTTTTACCTGGTAATCTGTGTTTTAATCATGACTGAATCACATGGATGTAAATATCTATTAAATTCAACGGATTTAAATATTCGTCATCATTTAACGGGTATGGCACGTACAAATCAAAATATACAGATTTTATCCGATGTTGATGGTATTGTTCGTAAAGATATAGCCAAATTAAAAGGTCGTGTTGTATTGATTAGTGGAGGTAAGTGAAAGGCACATTTAAACCTTGTGTTTTTCAATTTTCGGAAATAAAAAAAAATTTATTCATTCATAGGTGGTGCTGGTCATGAACCAATGTTTGCCGGTTTTGTTGGTCCAAAACAATTAACAGCCGCTGTATCGGGTTCTTATTTTGCATCACCATCGACAGGTGCCATTATGCGTCTTGTTGAACAGATAACCAAACCAGATTCATCGATTTTATTCATAACAGCAAATTATACTGGTGATAGATTGAATTTTGGTCTTGCTAATGAATATCTACGTTTACGTGGATATAAAAATATTGAAGCATTTGTTTTTGGTGATGATTTGGCACCATTTCTTACCACTGTTGCTGGTGGTGAAAAGAATAATATTCAAATCAAACGTAGAGGATTAGCAGGCATTGTATTTGTACATCGAATTGCTGGTGTTTTATCGGAACGTGGTCAAACACTTTCACAGATATTATCATATTTAAATCGAATTAGTCGATTAATTTATACATTTTCGGTTAGTTTAAGTGCAGCCGATATTGTTGGACAAGGTGCATCATTTCGTTTACCCAATGATCAAATGGAATTAGGCTTAGGTGTTCATGGTGAATCTGGTGTTCGACGTTGTCGTTTAATGTCGGCAAATGAAACAATTCGTTTAATGTTGAATGAATTAATTGGTCATTTAGATCGTGATGGTATTCTTGAACGTTATCAACGAAAAGTTATTGTTTTGATTAATAATTTAGGCGGAATGATACCAATGGAAATGAATATTATTGCCAACGAAGTTATCGAACAACTTTTACAAAAATCAATCAATATTAAACGTATTTATTCGGGTAGTTTATTTACATCGTTCAATATGAAAGGTGTTTCAATAACAATATTCATTATTGATAATGATGATATTTTGGATATTTTGGATGAATTTGATCGAAATCATGCTATTCAAACATTGTATTCAGTGAATAAAGATTTTATTTACAATCAACCGGATTCAAAGATTCAAAAAATTGATATCGAAAAACAACAAGATCAACAACAACAACAACAATATGATCAATTATTATTTCAGAATATTTGTTCAAAAGAAATTTTCGTTAAATGTTTACGTAATGCATGCCAGTCGATTGTAAGTAAAATTTTGAAATTTTTAACAATAAATTCATTCGATCGATTGATTTGATTTCATTTCATAGATTAACCAAGAAACATATCTAAATAATTTGGATAAAACTGTTGGTGATTCGGATTGTGGTTCAACATTATCATCGATTGCACGATTAATATTGAATCAATGTGATTCAATTGATGGTAAGTTTACTTAATTTCTCAATGGCCATTTAAAACTAAATGATGTTTTACTCACACTATTTCCACCCACCCCTCCCCCCAAAAAAGTAACACCAACATTTAGTAGATTATCCCGATTAATGATCAATAGCCAAATTGGTGGTACAAGTGGTGCAATCTATAGTTTACTATTTACTGCTGCACATAATTTTATACATAATCATTATTTCATTCAATCAAATAATGATGATTCAAAAAAACAACAGCAACCGTCGGGAAAAAAAATTATTGAAAAATTCTGGTTAAAATTGATTGAATATTGTATGGAACGTTTAAGTTGTTATGGTGGTGCTCGGATTAATGATCGATCAATGATTGGTAAATATTCAAAAAATCAAAAATCAAAATTTTCAAATCAATCAAAAATTCATAAATTCATAGGGTTAAAATAGAGAGAGGATAGGCATCCTAATTGTTTTATCATCATCATCGTTTCGATTCTTCAAAGTTTTGAAAAAAATTCAAATTTGGATGATTGGAGAATCTCTTAATTCTCTATTTTTCGTTTTTTGTTTTTGAAGAAGATAACTTGATAATGGCTGAAAGTTTTTTTTTCGTTAATTCCAAACGAAAAACTAAAGGAAAAAAATGATTAGAAGGGGGGAAAACAAGAGGGTACACTGATTTTTCTTCTTTCGGGTAATTCTTCTTTCTCTAATTTTCTTTCCCTTGATGATGATGATGAGGATGTGATCTCTCAATTTTTTTTTAGAAAAAAAAAAGTTTGAAAATTTCGTTTTTTTTAGACAAATTTTCTTTCATTTCGGTTCGTTCGACTCAATTTAACTATATTAGAAAGAAAAAAAGAAAAGAAAAGGAAAAAATTCAGTTAGCGTTGATGAATGAATGAATGAAAATCATTGAACATAAAGGATTGAGTTTTTTTTCGTGAAAATGGGCAGTCATGCAAATCGTAGTCATACAAACTTGGCCATTTTTCCTATCTAACATTGAACCCTGATGATGCACGCGACTTTTTTTTCGGGAATAAAATTTGATGCAAATTTCAATTTATTTTTTATTTTTTTTTTAAATAAATTCAATAGCATCTCAACAACAACAACACTGAGAAGTTGAATCGTTGAATTGAGAGAGAGAGATACTATTCGGTAGATGAGCCAGATATTTTTTCTTCCTTCTTGTTAATCTTATTTATTCGATTCTTTTTTGAGTGATGAACGATTCGATTATTTTTTGAGTGATGGACGATTCGATTTTTTCCATTTTGGCAACCAGGGAGTCAATATTGTCACAATGTCCAAAATCAAATCAAATGAACGTCAATTGTTTTTTTAACTGTCATTTGTTTTTCTCTTCTTTTTCTTATCTTCTTCTTCTTCATTTCAAATTAGATGGTCTCAATGGAATTATAATTGGCCTTAAACAATGTCTATCAATCAATGATGATTTGGATGATAAACGTTTAGCTAAAATTATATCCGAATCAACTTGGCATCAAGCAAGTAAGTTTATAAATATTCTTTTTTTCTTTTCCATATGAAATTCAATTAGCCTTTTTTTCGCGGAAAATGATGATAATATTTATCATTCGTTTGAAACAATTGTTGTTGAAAAATGAACATCTTGAATGTTTCAACAAAAAAATTATTCAATGTTTGATGATGTGATGACCTTTTTGATCTTTTTTTATCTCTCTCCAGAGAGATAAACAATGGATGATGATGATGATCATCATCGTCAAATGGCATTCAGGGAATTCAGATTCTTTATATTCTTTAAAAAAAGAAGAAAATTTTGCAGAATCCAGGAAAACCTTTACCCAAGATATGAATTGTATCAATTTTTTTGCTTGATATAAATAACCAGCTGCTCTGCTCTGCAATAGGAATAATTTTGATGTATCAATAAAATATCAGTGTGTGGCAGTTGAACAACACTCAATCATTCATGATAAATTACCCAAACATTCAATTCAATTTAATTTTCGTTATGATTTACGATTTTGAAATTCAGTTTGTGGAGCTGTCGACAACCACCAATAACCAATATTTATTTTCTTCTTATTGATTTTTCTTCGTTTTGTTTTTGTTTTTCTTTTTTTTATTTCCAGAATCAACAATAACAATGCGTGCAAATGTTGGCCGTGCATCATATGTTAATGAAAAACATTGGTTAAAAAATCCGGATGCCGGTGCAATAGCCGTTGCTATTTGGTTACAAGCAATTGTCGATACATTGGCCAACAATAACAAAGTTATCGGATGAAAATAGCCATGGAAAAACTGATAATATTAGAAAACAAAAAATGAATTGTTTTGACTAGCAAAATTCTTACCCATTAAATAATAAAATTGAATAATTTTTATATCGAAAAATTCTGTCTGTCTTTGTGTGTTTGTCTTCAATTCATTCAATGATGTTAATCAATTTGACATTTTTTTTTTGTTTTCATTCAATTCGTCAATAAAGAGATGTTGATAAAGAGATGTGAATAAATTTATCTTCTTCATCGTTCGTTCGTTCGTTACATTTGGGAATTCGAAAATTTCGTTCATTGTGTGTGGTATGTGGGTGGATGGATGCGTAACGAAGGCGTTTCAGCATCATCATCATCATCATCATCACGCCAACAACAACAAAAAAAGATAATTAATTAACGGTAAGTGTCGAATTTTATTATCGAAAAGATGATGTTGTTTGGCTTGGCTTGATTGTTTGCTGATGATGAACCAGTGGAAAAAAAAAACGAAAAAAGAAGAAAACAATAGTGGAACCTATAGTGGAAATAAAATGAAAAAAAAATTAGCAAGTCAAATCAAGTGTAATGGAAATGAACCGAAGAAAAGCAGAAAAACGAAACTACAAAAAAAAAAGATGAATGAAAATGAAACTCCAAAATCACAGTAATCTTATAATTGAAAAAAAAAACGAAACAAAATTCTGACAACTATTTCAACAACAACAACAAAAAAATTCTATTTTAACATCAAAAAAAATCTACTATTTCGACTTTCCTTTTCCCGTTTCATTCCCGAAAAAAAACATCAATTGACAAGTCTATTTAGACATTGTTGGTTGGATTTTTTGTTTTTTTTTTTTTTTTGGATGTCAATTTGCAATTTGTTTGCCGAATAACGATGTGATGTGATGTGTGATTGATTAACTTAATCATCATCATCATCATCATCCGTTTATATAGCAGAAAATTCAGTCAAAAAAAAAAAAAAAAAAAAACAGAGAAAAACCTTTCGATCACCTCTCAATCAGCCTGTGTGTGTGTGTATGCCACCAACAACCACTAAAGAATTTCAGAATTTCGGAATTTTTTTTTCGTTCTTCGGTTTGGAAATTCATTTTCCATTTTTCGTTCGTTCGTTTTGAATATGTAACCACACAGAACCTGGACCAGGAATTTGCCTGAGTCGGCAGAAATTTTTTTTTTGTGAATAGCGAATTATGAAAAAAATATGATATTTGGCTGAATCAAAGTTTCCATAATTCGATTGCAGCTGTGGTCAAACGCAAAACGCCAAAGTGATAATCACATCATTTTTTTCAGAAGAAAAAAATCTTGAAAGCTGTAAAATTGATTACTTTGATTATGAATGAATGTTTAGAAAATTTTCTTTTTCTTCAAAGAAAAAAATTCAATTTTCAGACCATTCAAGCCAACCAAACCGAATTCATACAATCAATTTACTTTCAAAAATTCAATTCAATTCGAAGTAAATAAATTTCTGGTCACCAACAACAACAACAACTGAATATCTAAATGAAAAGGAAATAAAGGTAACAAATGAGTGAAAAAAAAGTACTTGAAAAAACGAAATCTTACTTATTCACACTTGAATATCTTTTCTTCTTTTTTCTTCTTGTTGTTGTTGTTGTTCACAATTTACAATTCACAATTCAATGGGTTTTTTGGTTCGGGTGTTTGTAGTTGGCCGAATCAGTTTATCATTTTTTTTTTCATTTCATTCAATTCATTTCATTCCTCGTTATTTGTCGTTCAAACAACCAACAGCAGCAGCAGCAGCATTTGTCAGCAAAGCCAAATCAAGCTAACTAGCTGAATGTTTTCTTTCTTCTTTTCCTTTATTCTGGTCTTCATTCTTCTCGATGATGATGCGGCGCGCAGTTTCGATTCATTTTGATTATATGATGTGTGATGTGCTCGTGGTTGGCTGGTTTGGTTTGGTTCAAAAATTCATTCATTCATTCATTCTGAGAGTGTGGTGTATGAGTTTGAAAATGAAATGAAAACTAAAAAAGAAAGAAAAGAAAAAAATTTTGGCGCGTCTGGTCTTCTTCATCATCATCGATAACTGATGAAAATACCAGCCCACATTTAATACAACAACAAGAATAATAAGAATTTTTGCTTACTTGAATCTTTGATGAGTGGTGGTTGTTTGTCACACACACAGAATATTCAATATTTTTTTTCTAAATACAAAAAAAAAACAAACAGAATCGATCATCATCATCGACAGAATTTTCATTTCAATTTGTTTCGATTCGAACATTATCGAGCTTGTGATTCGAATTCTTTCACAAAATATTCTGTCGAAATAGTGTTCGGCTATTTCGATTTGTGCGTACCCGGTGTTTCGAACGTTTTCAAAAATTCTTTAAAATTTTTTTTGATTTATGATTTTTTTCTTTTCGTTTTAAAAATAAATTTTCACTTTGTGTTTTGTGTGTGTGAAACGAGAAGAAAATTAACTTCCCAAAAATAAAATCAATTTACAAAAATCATCATTAAATAATCATCATTCATCAAGTTCAAAATGTCAACGACAAACAACGGAACAACCAAATAAACATTTTGTCAACAAATGTTGTTATTGCTCGTTGTTGACAACTCAATTCATCAATTTTCCGAAACGAAAAAAAACGAAATCTGGTTGTCCATTCCAAAAAAATGATGTAAACATTTGTTTCTGGATCTTCTTTGGCCAAACAACCTCTGCTCGAAATAAAAAAAAGGTATTTTTTTTCGGTGATTACAACACCAAGATTATTATCATAATAACATTTGAAAAAAAGGAAAAAAAAATTTCAGACAGATTTCGATCACAATTCGACAACTTTAATCCAATGATGATAATGATGATGATTCAAATGAAATGAAATGAATAAATTTCAAGGATTATTTTATCCATCGATTCGTGATGATTGTTTTTTGTTGTTGTTGTTGTTGCAAAGATTCGATTCGATTTTTTTTTTTCGATTACCAAATAAATGATTGCCGGGAATAAAATAGATAGATGGATGGATGGATGGATTGAAGAAAGAAAAGGAAACAATCCATTTTATCATTCATGCATTATCGAATAATGGTGTCCTGTCAATTTCTACTTTTTTTTGAATATTTAAATCTTTTTTTCTTTCCCGCTCTTTTTTTTGTAAAATTTTCATATTGATGAGGTAATTCACTGTTAGTGTAAGTGGTGGTGGATCTATCAAATTCATCAAACATACAGCGAATACTTTATCTCTTCTTTTTTTGTGATATATTTTATCGGATTTTCATTCATTTCATTTCATTTCGTTCGTTCTTTTTTTATTTGAAAACAAACAGAGATTTTCTTCTTCTTTTTCGTACAATTTTCTAAATACATTTTCATTTGACACACAATGAAATGTGTTTGAGTTTTTTTTTCGTTTCATTCTCTCTCTCTCTGTTGTTAAATTCCATTATTCATATCATTAGATTTGTTGTTGATGATAAAATAAGATGATGATGATGATGATGATCAAGAAAACAATCTTGCTGTTTATAAATGTTTAGCTAAGCGTATTTACATTCAGTTTAATTCTTGTTTACGGTTCTGGTTAGCATCTCTTTCTTTTCTATCTGGAACATTTCTTGATATTTATATCTAGAAGTAAACATCAATAACATGAACATTTTCATATATTTTTTTTGGGGGGTGATGGTGGTGGTGGAGGTGGCTGATAGGTTATTCTAATTCATATAGCCCAAAAATTCTATTATATAATAATGGTTTTATCTTCTTCCCCCACCCCCCACTCAACCCCCAATATATTTGTTTCGAGTGGTCCATTCATTCATCCATCCATCCACTACCCATCATGGATCAATAATAAGTATAGTGTTGGTGGTGATGATGGTGGGGGCAAAAAAAAGACTAATAGTTTCATTTTGAATCTTTGACACCTCTCTCTCTCTTTCGCTTTCATCTTAATCTAGGGAATTAATACATTATTATTATTATTATCAACAACAACAAAAGATATTAGATTCTATTCAACAAATAATAATAGTTACCCATTATGTAATCGTATTGTATATTTATTTATATACAATGTGTACAATGTGATTTTTATCATCATCATCGTTTCGTTTTCTTTTTTTCGTTTTACCGTGACCATCGTCATGCTGTTTCACTTCACAATATTTTTCACATAATGAAATCGATGATGAAAATGGATGTAATCGATTCTTTTCTTTTCTTTTTTTGAATATCGATATTCGATATGATCTTTGCCTTTTTTTCTGTTTGTTTTTTTTTTGATTGGTCGGTCGCTTGCTTGATGACGGCCACCCGTTTTTTGTCCATTGTTATTTTGATCGAGAATCGAATGAATGAATAGAGCCAAATGATAATATCTTTATCGATTTTTTTCCGTTTTTGTTTTTTGTTTTTGATTCATTCAAATTTGACCATTGTTCATCAATATTATCATCATCATGCTTTTCAAGATGCTAATCTTTGACATGGGTCCATTTAACATTTTCGAATGTTTTCACACAAAAAAAAATTAAAAGTCAAAATAAACATTGGCTGTCACATAAATGTGTATATAGTGGCCGGTAACCGAACCGAACAGAACAAAAAAAAAATAGGAAACCAATATGCCCATATGCGCCATATATATCAGTGGATGTCATTAATCAAAAAATTCCAAAAAAAAAGAAAAAAAAATTACGTAAAGTTAGCGAAATATTAAATAAAGAAAAGAAAATATGGCCAAAAACAAATAAATACATACATACAACGCATATTGCTGATGCTGAGTCGAAATTTTTTTTTCTATTTTTGTCAACTTGGCATCTTGTGAATTTTTCATTTTTTCCACTACCAAATTCACTAATGACATCCGATGATGATGATTATGGTGTAAAGTTTTTTTTCAATTATAAAAATTCTATCTTTTTTCGTTGTTTTGTTTAACATTGAGGTCTATGGATAAATCGATCATCGGATGATGATGATGATGATGAGGAGGGATGATGAACATTTGGGATGTGAACACCGGCTGGTTCTTTCTTGTCTAGTTTGTTAGTTAGTTAGTTTTACTTGTTATAACCCTTTTTTTCTATTTTGTTTTGGCGATAGTGATGGTGGTTATTCATTATTATTCGATTGTGTTTGTTTTTCGGGGCTGGCTTGGCTTAATTCTTTTTGATCAAACACAAACACATTTGACGATTTGACTTGATGGCTGGCCATCTTTTTTTCTTTCTTTCTTTATTCAGGCATTTAGCATCTTGTCATTTTTGTTGGTTTGGTTGGTTTATAATCTTTTTGTTTTTGGTTGCAAGACGATCGATATATATAGATGAGAGGCGCCACTTTTTTCTCTGTTTTACCGATCATCCACCACCACCACCACCATCCCCCTTTTATTTCATTTTGTCCACAATGGGTGATCGTCATCAATAACGATAATGTCAAATATATTTAATATCGGATAATAGTGGAAAAAACGAAAAAGAAAACAAACAAAAAAAAAAGATCGGATATGATTCGCATATGAATTTGAACGAAAACGAAGCAAAAAAAACAAAAGATTGAAAAAAAAAGATCGAACGTTTTTTTTCCGTAAAAATGAAAAAAAAACATTCGAAACTAAAACAACAACCGAAACCTAATAGAGTCTAAATAGTGTCTGTCCGGTTTTTTTTTCGTTTTTTGCTTTTTGTTTTCTGTTTTCCGTCCGTCCGTTCGGATTATCGTTTTTATCGTTATTATTAATTTTTATTTATTAAAAAAAATGTGAACATTGCAAACTTGTTCGGTCATCATCATCATCATCATCATCATCGTCGTCGGAAATGGTCGTCGATATCGATATAAATTAACGAAAAAAATGGCTATTATTTTTGTTGTTGCTATTTTCACTTAATTCGACCCTGTTGTGTGCAAATATTGTTCCAACAACAGAAAGATTCGAATTTCACAATTCGAAAAAAAATTGAAATGTGAAACAATTTTCTGAAGTGATACTATCTAAGAAGTATTACTTACTTGAATCATTCTGGTTCACCAAAAAAAAAGTAAGTAAAAGTTTCCAATTTCCAAAAAACAAAAACACCATATAACCAAGCAAAAACCGAAAGTTGAATTTTTTCCATCTTCAACCAGCAACCAACAACAAAACCCCATCCATTTTTTGGGTGATCAGAAGCTTTTTGTTTTTATTTACCGACCAACCAACCAACCAACCAGTCAAACAGAACCCGAACCAGTCAACTCTGTTTGTTTTTCATTCATTCTTTCTATATATATGAAAAGAATAGAAATAAATTTATATTGATGCCTGTCACATACATACACACACACGTACAATACGTGACCAGAAGACAAGAAGTGAACAAAAACAAAACGAAAAACGAGAAAAAAAATGAACAAATTAGTATTCATAGATTGTATCGTTTCACGAATAAATATTTATTTTCCTTCTTTCATTCTTTCGAGGTTCTTTGGGTCTCGGGAACAATTTTTTTTTTTTTTGCTCACAGAAATACCCCTATTATTCGATTCATCAAATTCATCATCAAATGGTATGGTATGGTATATTTGGGTACAACCAATTTATTTTTATTTTCTCTCTTTTTTTTTGTTCCCCAGTAAATCTAAGAACAATGATGATGATGATAATGATGATAATGATGAACAACAACAACAACAACACATTGCGAATTTCCATTTTCTCTCTCTCTCTCTCTCTCTCTCTCTCTCTCTTAATAAAATTGAAAGGAAATTGAAATCACATACAAAGTGATAAATAAAGTGATAAATGAAATGAAAATGGAAATGGACAGGATGACAATTATCATCATCATCATCATCATTGAACAATTATTGATTACAATCGAATCGATGTATCGGATGGACCCCGATATACCCGACACACGTATCGTGTGTTAGGAATTTTCAATTTCAATTTCAATCATCATTATTTTTTCATCACAATGATGATCATTTGGCTCATCAATCAACATTGATCCTTGGAATAATGTTTCCGAATTTTTTTTCTTTCATTCGATCTATCTGGGAGTTTTTCCCATTAAAAATTGATGATGATGATAATGAAATTTAATCCTTTCATATCCATTCTCATTGAATTTTGTTTTGTTTTGGCCATTTTTGCTGAAATCAATCAAACAATAAGAAAGATAGTGTTAATGGATAATGATGGTCGAAATTAAAAAAAGTTTAACAAAAAAAAATATACTTAATTTCAATGATGATGACCATTATCTTCGTTATTGTTACAACAAATGCGACATATTTTTTTCTTGAAAAAAATTAAAAAAGATCAGATCATCAACACAGCTGATACAATATTTCTCAATAACATCATCATCATTTGCAAAATGCCAATTTTCATTCATTTCGCCAAATGAAAAATCCAAAGCTAAATTTAGCCAGAATTGGTTTAACATTTGTCCTTTTTTTTCTCTCTCTCTCTCTCTCTCTCTCTTTGAGCTTGGAATCGATCTGTATACAAATTGAAACACACAGAAAACACAACATCGGAAAAACAAAACTACAAAATTCCAAATATTATTATTGCCGGCTGTTGTGTTTTATTCGGGTTGTTTGTTTGTCCATTTCGTTTTTCGTTGGTTGGTTGGTTGTTAATCGCATCGCACCAAATGTCACACAAACGAAAAAATATTTTTTGAAACTTTTTTTTTCATTGAAAAATAATCCTTCGAAACTCCCAAAATACACAAAGCGAGGGATGTTATGGATCACACACACACACACATTGGATTGAAATAGTTGTTGATCCATTTTTATTATTAAGCCATTTATATGGACTATTACTACACAATTGGTTTGTTGTTTTTTTTCTAAACGGACAAACTGCAAAACAAAACATTTAGCACGTTTTTCAATAAAAATAAAGTTAAATTACAAATGAAAATCGGATTTTGCTTTTGCTCGGGTTATTCAGGTTCATTGGATCGAAATTCTGTTGATATCAAATGGAAAAACATTATTATTTTTGATGATGTGAATAACATCAACTGTGATTGTAAACAAACAAAAATGTTTCAATTCCGATTGATTTGATTTAATTTTCTTTTCTCTTTCTTCGATCCAAATAGATTTGTTCGTCGCTGTTCATCGAGAATCCGAATTTTCTCCAATCAATTCAGCTATGCAGCAAACTAACCAGCTGGTAACATTAGATTAAATGAACAAAGCAAAATGGCTTTATTACAACTGTCAATCATTGGCTATTATTATTATTATTGTTATCGTATAAGGATGATGATGATAATTGTCACATTTATTTTGTTATTGTTAGCAATGATCGAATCAATAGAATTACCATCAGAATCAGAATCAGAATCAGTTAATGAAAATATTGTTAATATTGTTGCAAATGATGGTGATGATAATCATGGAAATCGACGAAATTATCATCATCATCGACGACAAATTTACTGTGATTTAAATCCAATGTGTTTATGTCAAAATTATCAAGCACAATATATGGACGTGACATGTATTAATGTACCATTTGATTCATTACCCGATTTAAGTCGTATGATGTCTACGACGAATGAATCGATGATAAATTCATTTGATCATCATCATCATCGACATTTATATCGGGTACGAATTCATGGTGCCCGACAATTAACCCAACTAAATGATCATAATTCATTCATACATTTAATTACATTAACATCATTATCAATAACTAATACAAGAATTTCATGGATCGATTCGAATTTATTTCGTAATCTAGCAATATCACGTACATTAACAACATTAGATTTATCATATGGACAATTAGTTGATATACCTGTCGATGCATTAGAACCATTAGAAAATTTACAATGGTTATCATTACAAGGTAATCAAATTGAAATAATTAAACAAAATCGATTTTTATATCGTTTAAAGCATTTACGTACATTATTGCTCAATGAAAATCGTTTGTTTATTATTGATGATGGTTCATTTTCTGGAATGCCATCACTTGAACAAATAAATTTTGATTCAAATATGATTGAACGTGTTGAAGGCAGTCCTTTTCCCTCGACACTTCGATCATTATCAATATCAAATTGTTTATTAAGGAAAATTCCATTCAATTCAATTGAATCTTTATCAAGATTAGAAATTCTACAATTACAAGGCAATCTAATCAATCATCTATCACCATTTAAATTAATGGTTCGTCGAATTCAATTAATCGATCTTAGTCATAATCTGATTGATCAAATACCCGATAATCTTTTTGTTAATTTTCAATCATCATCAGTAAATCGGATCAAATTGAAACGAAATCAAAATGAAACTAGATTTACAGATTCAGTGAAACCGGCCAGCTGGACCGACAACAACAACAACAATGTTGATGACAGAACAAACAACAATAGCTTAAATGAATCGGACGATATTTTCAATGATGATGATGAAGAAGGATTACAAATCGAACAACTTTATTTGGATTTCAATTTCATTAAATCATTGGATTCGACGAATTTATTTCGTTCAATACGATTGAAAAAACTTTCAATATCAAATAATCGTCTATCAAGTTCTGGACTATCAAATCCATCAATATTTGATGGACCAATTGGTCATTCATTAAAAATATTAAATGTTAATTATAATTTAATTGATAAATATCCCCGAGCATTTCGTTCATTGACTGGATTACAGCAACTTCTAATGAAAAATAACCGTATTCAAACATTCGATTCAGCAAATATATTTGGCCAATCTAGTCGTACATTGGAATTGATTGATCTTTCACAGAATCTAATCGAACGCATACCAACTGCTGCATTCAATACTTTACGAAATTTAATCAAACTAAATCTGCATGATAATGCAATCAGCCGGTTGGATAAAGATGATCTTAGTGGTTGGTGTAGCCAGCGATTAAAATCATTAACATTATCGAAAAATAATCTGGAATATTTATCCGTTGATGCATTTCGTTCATGTAAACATTTGAATGAATTACGTCTTGGTGGTAATCGTCTGCTACGTATTCAACCCGTTCAATTAGCACATTATCTTAATCGATTACAATTATTGGATCTTAGTTCATTGGCTTCGGTTGATTGGTCATACGAAAACATTGGTAATCAAAGCAATCAAATGATAAATAAATTTTCTCATATAAAATGGTTACAATTTGATTTTAATCAATTACGTTCGATCCCAAGTGAAATGATTGATATATTTCCTGGAATTAAACATCTTGATTTACAAAATAATTTGATTGATACAATCCAAACAAATCAACTTAGTCAATTAATTGATTTACAATCAATAATTATTAGCAATAATCATTTGATGAAAATTTCAACAAATTCATTTTCACGTTTACCACGTTTAGAAAGTTTAACACTTTATTTTAATCGAATTGAATATTTGGATTTTGGTTCATTTAATGAACTACCACGTTTACAATCATTAGTTTTATCCAGGAATCAAATTAATCATTTAGAACCGGGAACATTTATAAATATTTCAAATGAAAGTAATTCATTAACATTATTGTTGGATAATAATCGAATTGAATGTTTATCAATCGATCCATTTGTTTATATTCGTCGACGGTTAAAGCCCGAAGCTTCTTCAACATTCACCACCATCGACGACGACGACGACAACAACGCTAATGATGGCCAATTTGCCATCTATTTGAATGTATCGAATAATCAAATAAAAACTTTGGGAAATTGTCAAAATTCATTCCCAACAACCACAAAAACAAATAAAAATTGGGTAAACATTGTTCGTCGTCGTAATCAACGCGACAAACAACGAAAACATCAACAAACATTGGCCGTACGTGTTCTTGATTTATCATCCAATCAAATCAACGAATTGAATAGAAAATTTTTTCAACAATTTTGTCCAAAAACATTATCATTGTTAGTTAATCATAACTTAATTCAACGAATCCCTTTACAATTATTTAGTTTAGGTTATTGTAGTCAATTACAATCACTATCGCTCAATCATAATTATATTGTCGATATAAAGCTTGCCTTTGATGATGATGATGACAATCAAACATCAGATAACAACGACAATAGTTCGTTTGTCATACAAACATTAAGCTTACAAAATAATCAAATCAAAGATTTATCTCGTTTTTATCGTCTATTTAAACGTTGTTCCCAACTAAAATCATTATATTTGAATCATAATCAAATTGAATGGATACCGGTCAATTTATGGTCCGAAACAACAATTGTTACATTAAATATTGCTAATAATAAACTAACGCTTGATGATGATGATAGTGATAATGATGGTAAAGGTCATGATCATGATGATGGTAAAGGTCAATCACCGATTGATCAATGTTTTGGTATAGCGAAAACGCTTAAATATCTTGATCTATCAAATAATCTACTACGTACCATACCTAAACGTATTATTTTCTGTGACAATCTTAATGAATTATTATTAACAAATAATCAAATTTATTCGTTTGGTTATGAACCATCATTGATTCAACGTTTAATAAGCCATCTAAAACGATTAGATTTAGATAATAATCCATTGAATATTGGTGGTAATCAACGAGGAAAAACATTCGAATGGTTAAATAATGATCATTCATCATTATCAATATTAAGATTGAGTAATGTAATCAGCAACAACGACAAATCGAACGAATCATTAAATATTGGTGAATCATTAAATCTACCATATTTACATACATTAGATTTAAGTAATAATAATATTCTACAAATATCATTACGTTTATTATCACGTAGTCGTAATGTACGTCATTTAAATCTGGCTACGAATCAACTGCGTGAAGTACCGAAACATATTTGGAAATATGTAACAAGATTACAATGGCTTTCATTACGTAATAATCCTATTGATATACTTGATTCATTAAGTTTTGCTGGTTTAAAATATTTAAGATATTTAGATATACAAGAATTAAATTTACAATATATTGATTCAAGAATATTTATCTATCAAAGGTATGTTTGTATTTTCCGGAATATTTCCCATTGTTTGTTTCGTATAAATGTTTCCGGAAATTGAAATTTTCCATTTTTTTTCAATTTTTTTTCCTTCTTCATTGAATTGAAATAGTCAAATGTTATCATTGAAAATAAGCACATATCCACAAATACGTTCATTTCGTTTACAAGATATTCTAACCAAATGTGATTCATTACAAACAATTGTTGTTGATGTTCGTGAACAAATTCTATCACATCAAATACAATGGGCATTTGGTGGTAAATTACGTGAATTGATTATAACTGGTCGTAATTTAGCTGTCATAATACCGGATGCATTTCAAGGTAAGTATATTGACGAACGGAAATTATTTTGTTGTTGTTGTTGTTGTTGAAGGTGGAAAATAACATGTCAAAATTTTTTTTCCTTATCTGATGTGTGATGTGTGATAGGATTGAATAATGCTAACGATCTGATTGTACGTATAACCAATACAAGTGTTAAACATTTACCCGATTCATTGTTACGATATTTGGCCGATATTCGTTATATAACAATTGATTTAAGAGGAAATCTTTTACATACTGTTAGTCCATCAGTATTTTTTACCAATCTAGATAATTATCATCATTCATGGAAAACATGGCAATCAAGACAATTATTAGGTAACAAGGTGATTTAGAGTTTATCGAAAATTCATTTTTATCCATTTATATTTTCTCACGATGATGATTATTATAGGTGGTATTATTTTGGAAGATAATCCACTTGTTTGTGATTGTAATCTACTTTGGTTAAGTCAATGGATGCGTGAAGTATTTACCGAAATGAAAAGTATTAATGTTGAAGCTGCTATTCATGCTAAATCAAAATTATCATTAAGTCAATGTGCACGACCTTTATGCTACAATAATGCTCAACAATATAGCTCAACCTCGAATATTACCACAACAACATCATCATCACCACTAAAACAGTCTTATGTATCGATCATTGATTTACGCGATGAAGATATATGTCAACAACAACAACAATGTCAACAAGATGTTAGTATAGCTTGGCCATCATTATCATCATCATCATCGTCGTCAGATGATCGATATGTCATGTTTGTACAAATATCGATTGTGTTGATTTTTCGCCTTTTTTCCTGTAACTATCAACTAGCTGCCATTGTAAATTAATTGTATTTTTTCCTCTTTTCTTTTTTGTTGTTGAATTCCATAAAAGAGAAATCTTGTTATTGATTTTGATTGAATAAAATTTTTTCTAGTCAAATTTAAATTTTTTTTTCAAAAAATATTTCGCCAGATGGCGACAAAATCATTGAATTGAAATAAAAACAATGAAAATACAAGCAAAAGTCAACGCCATCTATTTTCATCTACAATACACAATTTTATTATTTTAATAATTTTTACAAGTTTTTAGGCAAAATAATTTTTTTGAAAGAATTAAGGAAACGAAAAAAAACTAAAATATTCAAAATACTTGATGCCACCATTTTTTTAATTTAATTTTCAAATAACGTGACATCCAATTGATAAATGTATTACCATCATTTATTTTAGGATTATTTTTCATACTACGTATGAATAATAATAATAACCATGATGATGATTTTTTTTCAAATTTCATTTGTTCTTGTTGACGTTCAGCCTGTATTGAAACACTTAATAAATGTAGATTAAAATAATGGTCTAGATTAACTTTGATCAAACGTCTTAAAAATGATTCCAATAGACAACAACAATTCTTTTTGCAACAACATTGTGTTGATGATAATGATAATGATGATGATGATGATTGTTTCGATGATGTTCGAGAAAATATTGATGATGTGGATGATTTTGTTGATGTTATTGATGTTGTTGATGATCGTCGACCACGATTATGATGATTATGATGATGACCACAATCAATAATACGTACATGATAATTTTTAATAAAATCTTTTTCATTCAAATCAATATTACTATTATCATTTTCAATAATACAATGACCAAATCTAGCTAAATAGATTTGTACATGATGATTATCAACAATGATTGATGATGATGATGATGATCGTTGTTGTTTAAGTTGTCGTTGTTGTTGTTTTTGTTGTTGACGATGAAATTGATAAAATCCTTTCAACCATGATGTTGCATATTGAAATGAATCCAAATTACCATTCGAATAGAAAGCGATTGCAATATTTGTACGAGAAAAATATTTTCTACCAAATTCTTCTAGGAAAAATTCCGATTTTGATTCATAACAATCTGGCCATCTTATTAGATAGAATTTTATCTGAATATCAATTGGATTTTCTTCACCATTATTATTGCTATTTTCAATAACGAATCGATAACGATAATGATATGTTGATAAACAATTTGATTTCGAATGTTTAATCTTTTCCAACCAAACTTGGCCAACATTTTCTTGTTGTTGTTGTTGTTGTGATCGATGATTATTATCCACACCATCACCATCATTACCAAAACGATATATAAAAATTTTCAATTGTTTTTCCAAAATTTTATTCAAATCATGTTCCGAAGACGACAATGACGATGATGATGATGATCGTTGCATCCAGAATATTAATGCACGTATTTTTGGATATTTTTTCCCATCATCACATACATTTGGCCATAAATGTCCATCATTATCATTACCAATTGGTTTTTCCATTGTATAATCATTGTTTATTTTAATTGTTGCTTGTTGTTGTTGTTGATGTTTAACTGTTGTTAAATAATTACGATATTTAGCTGTATCATAATCATCAACTAATCGTATTTGTTCAATAGATTTGTTATTATTCGGAATTTTCATTCGTTTCTGTTGTTGTTGTTGTTGATTTAGTCAGCTTGTATTTTTTGTTGTTGCAAATAATTTTTCTTGAAACGATGTTATTTCTTTTTCAAATTTACGATGTGATGATATAGACATAATAATAAAAATCGATTGATTCGATTGGAAATCTTCACGATGATGATTAATGTTTGGAAATGAATTTTTTTTGTTGCGAGTTTTTTTCAAATTGAAATTTTTCTTGATAAATTTTAGCTAAAAAAAAATAAATAAATAAATTCGATTAATCAACAATCGATTATCCAAAATCATTTATATACAAAAAAAAATACTGATCGAATTGATTGATTGATACGATCGATCAATGTTGATAATTGATTTTTGATAAATCACAAACACACACACACACAGTAAATTGATTATTTATTTTTGATTTTAGACTTTGTTCACCGAAGGAAAGATTTATCACCATAGCTGTTGGTTGTTGTTGAACAATCGAGAAATTTTTGTTATCAAAATTCGTCAATTTTTTTCAGAGTTATGTGCGTTGTTGCTTGTTGCTCGTCATTGCTCAATTGCAATCGGAATAAAGTCCAAAAACGTCAATCGGGATGAATAAATCAATGAAAAAAATCACACATATTTTTCAAATCAATCAATCTGATTGATTCAAATAAGAAAATCTGATCGATGATCATTGAACGATGAGATTTGATTTTTTTTTTTATTTGAATAAACCAATAAAATCCGGTTAATTTCGATAAAGCCAATAAATTCAAAAAAAAACTGGAAACATTCAAGAGGAAAAAGAAAATCAAACTCCTAATCAATCGATCGATCAAAAAAATATCGAGGTTAAAATCGAATGCCAATATTTATCTGCAGATAACGTTCGATATCGAACGTTATTGGAAAAACAAAAAGGGTCGTACAAAAATCACGTGTCACCTAATATTTATGTTTTGTTTGTTTACATTTTACGTTTTTATCCGGAAAAAAATCTAAATTGAAACGAGTATCCATTTCACATCGTTTTTTTTCACGTGCCATAAACAACAACAAAAATCCGAAAAACAAACAAACAACTTTCTGCAAGAATGTTTATGATTATTGCCTGAATGTAATGAAACAAATGGAACAAATGAAAACGAAAAACGAAAGTTATGATAATGTTCTTTTTTCTCGTGGATTTCGAGAATCAAATTGAAAAAAAGTTGTTTTCTTATTTGAATATTGTGTCAAGATATTGTTGTTGTTGTTGTTTTCACGCCAAACAAGTCGTTCCATACTTTTTTTTCCACAACAAAGATGTTGAACAAAACGACCGAGCATCTTTATGCATGATTATTGAAGCAAAAAAAAACAACAACAAAAAAATGATGCTTTAGCCATCCACACACACACAGACGGAGAGCAAGTCTGATTTATCATTTCGTCAAATTAAGATAATGAAATTATCAGAAAGATGGTAAAAGAAAAAGTGAAAATGAAACTCGTTTGTTTTGGAAAACAATGGACAATTGTTTTTTGTCTTGTTTTAATCATCATCAACATGATAATCGCCTTCTTCTTACCACCATTGACATTGATGATTTATCATTTAAAAAGAAAAAACAAATGACAACAACTTGTTTGTTGATAATGATAATTGTCTAAAATGATTTTCTGAACTCTTTTCCTTTTTTTATGATTGAAAATCAAATCAAAAAAATTCTTATTGGAAAGCAAGCAAGCAAAAAAAAACAACAAAGATTTTCACGATAAACACACAAACATAGACAATTTGAATTTTTGTATCAATTTTTTGATAAATGAAAAGAAAATTATCATTCATAAACGGTCAATATCAGCAGAAAAGTAAATATATTTCTTCGTTCGTTCTGAATCATCGAAACTTTTTTTTTTTGTTGAAAAAAACACGTTTTTTATCAAGTAACACACAGATTTACATTGACACGGTTATAATTAGTAATCGGAAAGATGGTTTAAGTTTGATTTTTAATCTCAAGTTTAGATTTTTTATATTTATCCTAATCTATATTTATAGAAAAAAAAAGAAAAGTAAAAAAATGAAAAAATTTATTTTTTTTCCAAGAAAAACTTCTGTTTCCGATCATGTGATTAACATTGAACGACATTTATGAATGACAAACATTCGAATTTTTTTAAACGTTCGAATTCAAAACATTCGATTTTTGAAACATTCGATTTTTTTTCTGCAGACATAATAATTTTCTGTTGTTGGATCATCATCTTGGATCTCAAAAGAAATTATCATGCAAATGAAATTTCTCAAACAAAAAGAAAAAAATGACTGATAATTTCCCTTTTTTATCATTTTCGTTTCATTTTCGTTCCCATCATCATCTATGACATCATCATCGTTATATCAATAAGGTCATTTTGGGAAAAACGAAACGAGTTTTTTTTGGCCAAACAAAATTCAATCAGGTTTATTTATTTATTTATTAATCAATGAAATTTCTCTTCCTTATCATCATCATCAAATCAAATCATGAAAAAAACGTATGTATCATGATTTTTTGGCAAACAAACAAACAATTTTTTTCATGTTTTTTTTTGGAACTTTTTCATATAGGGCCAAGTCTCTCTCTCTCTTCTTTTTTTTCCTATTTCTTTATCAAATGGTCATTTCAAAAAAAGCGAATCTTATCATCTTTTTTCTTCTTTATAATAACAGTCAGTATTATATAAATTTCAATTGTCTTGTCCGGTAGCTTGTTATTGCTGTTTTTTTCTAAATTTTTTTTCTTCTATATAAATCCTATGAGTAACTGGTATTTTTTCTGTTGTTCATAAAACATCATTTTCTCATTTTCACTGAAACTTTTTCTCTCCATTTTTTGTTTTTTTTGTTTCTTCCATTTTCAAATTTAGATTTTTAATTTGCACCGAAAAAAAATCAAAACGGAAAACTAACGAAAGAGAAATTTTTTCCGGTTCTTCATTTCAACAACACAAACACCATTTGGTTTAATATCGCATTCGGATTTGGTTCGTTAATGTTTGTCCACCACCATCATTATTATCATCAAAATCATCATCATTATTATTGATTTTTAACCTTTTTTTCAATTGTTTTTTTCTTGTGTTTTCTGTTTTTTCTGTGTGTGTGTGATTTTATTTAGGTGATAAAAAAACAACTGCAAAGCATCATCCCATCATCATCTATTCTATCCATCCATAATTTGTTCCGTATTGAATTGAAACAAAAAAACCATCAATCAATCATGTCACAACAAGAAAATCAACTAAAAAAATTATTAAAAGATGCTGAACGTGTTATTAATGATACTGAAATTGAAACCTGTACACAATGGATTGATCGCGAAGTACAACGAACAAAAAAATTAAAAGAACAAATTGAACGACAACAAAATCATTCAAGTATTCCAGCCAAATTATTCAATGAAGCACGTGATACTGTTGATGGTTTACAACGTTTTATTGAAAATTTAAAAGATTTTCGTTCAAATATGGCTAAAAATGGCCATCAAGTTGTTATTTCAAATAGTACTGAAGCAAGAGCTTCAGGCATATTGAAAAATGCATCATATTCAACAGAATATAAATGTCCATTCTAGGATAATTCGATCTATCGATTGATTCAACAAGACAATTGGATGGCCTTGTCACTTTCTCTCTATCTTTATCTATCTCTTCCTCTCTATACATCTTTCATTGTCATTTGAAGAAAAACATTTGGGGAAAAAAATGAAAGAATATCATCTAATTTCTTCAACAACAACAGCAAAAAAAAGCATATATTTGATCCAAGATCAATGATAAAATTTCCGAATTTATTACACAGAAAAAAAAACAACACTATTAATCATATTTTGAATTACAATTTTGATTTTTAGTTTTTTTTCTCAACTCTATTCACTTTATAATATCTTATTCATTTGATTTGATTTGATTTGATTAAATAAATAATTAATTTTGATTAATTAAAAAATGAAAAAAAACGTGATTTGAATGTGTGAAAAATCAATCAATCGATTAACCGATCGATCAATCGGTTATTGATTTTTGTCTTGGTTTTTCACGTGGGAAAAAACCTCAAACTGGCGTGATTGATTTGAACACGAAAATCTTTACTGGATGAACAGATTTTGGAAAAAACTTGCTTAATTCAATTTTGTTTGTTTGTTTATTCATTCATTATGGAAATTAATTTGCAAAAAACAAAAAAAAAATTTAAATTTTTCATTTTTTCTTTTGATCGATTTGAATTCCCACAGTCTTTTTTTGCATCAAAAAAAAAACATTTGAAATATCTTGACTCTCTTCTTTTGAAAAATCCTTGATATTCATTTTAAGTTTGGTTTGATCGTTTTCGGGAAAGACAATCATTTTTTTCTTTTCGTCGATTTTCTCTCAACATAAAGCAGAAAACATCCAACAAGCCACCATACTCTCAATCAATTTTCTAATTCATTTCAGGTTTTTTTTTCTTATCTTTCGAATATGGAGAACGCAAAAATCATTGATGATGATGATGGAAAAAACTCTCCATCTCATCACATGCATGAATGCAACCTAGTTTTGTATTTATTTAATGCTTGTTGGCTTAATGTTTTTTTGCCATTTACAATCAGAAACATTACAATCGAAAAATGAAATTTTTTTTGTGTGTTTGAAACATTTGAATCAAGATTTTGAAAGAAATTCTTCATCACTGAACACTGATCATACAGAAATCGATCGTTTGTTGCAAGTTGTTGTTGTCCTTCATTCAAATGAAATAGACAAAAAAAAAATTTCTGTTTGCTTGTTTTAATTTGTTTGCTTCTAAATAACCCCATTGATAACTTGAAATTTTAAAATTTTGAAATTTTTGAATATAAAAACTTTGATAAATTTTCAACAAAACAATATTTTCATTAACTTGAATATTCAACAAGTGTCTGTTTCGATCAATCAATCAATCAACAAAATTCAACAAAATCAACAAAATTAAAATCCGCCGATCGATCAATCAATCAAAATTTTATTAATCAAGAATTCAATCAAATCAATCAACGAGAAAAAATGTCCCAACAAGAAACACAATTAAAAAAATTAATAAAAGATTCAATGAAAATGATTGAAGAAACTGAATTTGAAACCTGTTCACAATGGATTGATCGTGAAATTAACCGAGCACGAAAACAACAAGAACAAATTGAACGTTTACAAAATCATCCATCCATTACTGCTCGGTTATTCAATGAATCACGTGATTGTTGTGATCAAATTCATTCGTATATTGAACGTTTACGTTTTTTTCGTTTGAATAAAAGTAAACAAGGTAGACAAATTCTTATTGAAACTACTGATGATATTAAACGTACAGGAATGTTTAATAATGCTGCATATGATATTGAATATAAAAGTCCCTTCTAGGGGGGGAAATGGAAAATCGCAATCAAAAAATCGCAATCGCAAATGGATCAACATGTAATGTTACAAAAAAAAAAAATTAACCGAATTTTTAACCAGAATTTTTAACAGAATTTAGCAGAAAATTTTTCTTATTTTGAAAAAATAATAAAAAACTTTGTTTCCATCAATTCAATCATATCAATCAATCAAGGCTGAAAATTGTTAATAATGAAAAACAAAAACACTGAAAAATAAAAATCTTAAAATAAAAAATTAATTAATTTAAAAAATAAATTCCTTGATCATCATGGTCATCATTTTGTCTTTATTTTCTGCGAAGGTGATCGAGTTATTGATCAAGTTTCTGTTGTCGTTTTCCAGTTGTTTTTCAGTTGTTGTTGTTGTTATTGTCGTTGAATTTCAAATTCTTTAATCGTTTTCTGTCGTGAAATTTTTTGTTTTTGTTTTTCTATCTTCGTATTTTGACAAAAATCAGTGAAATTTTTGTTTTTCACTGATTTTTTTTAATGGATTTATTTTTAGCAGCCAAAAACAACAACAATATTTTGTTGTTGTTGTTGGTGACACATTTTGGTTGCAATCCACTGGAGAAAAATTGATTAAAAATTAATTAAAAAATCACAAGATTTGAGAATCGTGGAGAAAAATTGAAAATTTTCTTTAAAACAAAAAAAAAAGAAAGAAAAAAGAAAAATTGCTGATAACAATGTAATAAATGAGTTTTTTTTTGTGTGTCAATCCAATCAATCAATCAATTGATAATTTGATTGATTTGATTCGATCTGATTAACTGATCAATTTGATTTGATCGATATATAATAAATATGTATGTATGCATGGTATCGATTACCTATTTGCACACACACCTGTTTGATTTATTTGATTTTTACCTGTTTTTTATCATTGAAAATGTTCAGAAATAATTATGGTTTTTCGTTGCTGCTATCGTTGACCATTCATCTGACCATTATCATCGCTGTTGTAAATTCAATAAAATTTCATGATTGTAGTGGTGGTGAGTTTTTCTTCGTCTTTCTTCAAAAAAATTATTCATTTTTTTCGTTTTCTTCAACTTTCAACACAGCATTAGTACAGACCGTATCATTGGATGGATGTGCGGATGATGCACAAATATGTAAATTTAATAATAAAAAAAATTCACCAAATAATAGAACATTAATCCTTCGTTATCATGTTGATCTGATTGCCAATCAAATTACTGATCAAATTCGATTGGAAATATCGATAAAATCACGTTATAATCATATACCACCCAATGATGATGATGATTATGATCGTTTAGCTATTTTTGATAATCTTTGTCAAACAAACCAGGATATTTGTCCTACAAATTTTAATGTACTTTATCATTTTTGTTATGGTTTTCGTTTGGATAATGTAACATTATTGGTAATTATTTTGATCAATCATCTTGATTTAACCCTTAATTAATTCATAATTTATTCTCCCCCTTTTCCCCTTTTCTACCTTTACCTTTTTACAGCATAATAAACATAATCAAGAGATTATTATTAAAAATCAATATTATTCATCAAATAATAATAATCTTTTAGCTTGTTTTCAACATTCAATAATGTTATTAGATGGTAAATTGAATGATGGATGATGATTTTTTTTTTCTAAATTAACTCAACGATTTTCTGATTTATTTCCCTCACACATAGAGCCTGATACTTTACCGATGGCCGTGTTAAAAAATTAAAATAATTTTTGAATACGAATTAACATCACCGGATGGCAGCACCTTGTTCATAAATTGTAAAAAAATGAATAAAATTTCAAATTTTTTTTTTTTGGCTTGCCTATTTTAACTTTATATGATTTCTTTTGTTTGTTGACTATTTTAACACATGTTACATTGATGCACAGAAATGAATTAGGGTGTGTGTGTGTGTGTTTTGAATCGAGTGAGGATAGAGTGATATGTCACAAAAAAAAGTCGAGGTTTGGTATTCATCTTTCTGCACTATGGTGGTATGCATATGATAACAGCGTCGTTTTTTTTGCTCGCGCAATGATGATGATGATGAGGATTTTCGAAATTAAGATCGCCATTTTCCACCATACTATGGCTTTACATTTTTTTCCTATCAATTTTGTTCTATCGAGCATTTGATAACGATGGGATGAGCTGGCAAGCATGTAACAAATGTTTATGTTTTGTCTCGAATTTAATCTATGTCTCATAACATCGTCATAAATTAACGGGAAATTATTGGTTATTATTGTTATGATTTACTCACTCACTTGCACTCTATCTCTCTCTCTTGGTGGTATCCCTTGCTACAAACCTTTTTTATATATAAAGCTACTATAAATCGACGAGGATTCGATTTTCAATCAAGAATTTGATTTCGAAAAAGAAAGTGTTGATCTTTTGATAAAAAAAACTTTGCTTCTTGATTTTTTTTTGCTATTGAGAGTATCTGAGACTCTTGATTTTTTTTTTTGGACAAAATTGGTAAGTCAATTTTTTTGGGTAAGTGAAAATGATGCAATAAAATGTTGTAATAAATCATTATTATTCCACTTCTAGTTAGTTATCTGAGAACCGATATCTGCGACTCAAATTTTGGGTAAAAGACTTTTTTTTTGATTACTCTATAAAAATACCTGTTGCTTTTGATTAATGCGTCATTTGTAGTCCTTTTTCTCACTTGGGTAAGTGAAATCAGAATCAATGAAAAATTATTTTTTGATTGAAAATTTTCTTTTTTTTCAGCTATTCTTGGTTAACCCTTTTGATTATTGCTCTGCTGAACTTACCTGCTACGAGGTTTATTTTTGTGGCACACTTTTACTGAACGAAATCCTTATTGATTTCGATTTGAAATTTAAAAAAAATGACTTCAAAAATTCAAGAATCATTTAAAAAACGTAAAATAGCATTACGTAAATTTAATGATTATTTTAATAGTTTTATTGATGAATATGAAGAAGAAATTCTTAAGTCACGAAAAGATATACGTACACTAATTGAAGAGATACGTGATTATAATCGTTTATTGGCCGATGTTGATGATCTTTATGATGAGGAATTGGTTGAACGTTTCAATTCACAAGCACATCGATTATCCAAATTTTTAAATGAATCAACAATCGATGATGACAATAATGGAACCGATCGTCAAACCGAAGAAAAGCAACAACAACAAAAATCGAAAGAAATTGAATCAAAAGAAATTCCCCAAGTGCCTAAATCAAAAAAACCAATGGAACCAAAGATTGTTGAAAATAATACTAGAATGATGATGAATAATAATAATGATGATCATCATCAACAATCCACTTCAAGAAGCTCTACGTCGCTTAATTCAAATTTTATTCAATTAACCGATACAAATTGGTCAGATTATTATCCATTAATGATGGAATTTATTGTAACCGATCAAAAAATACCTGATGAACGAACAAGAATTGCATTATTGAAAAAAAGTGTTGAAAAAAATTCAACAGCCTCGCAATTAATTGCAAATGAAAATTCAATGAGAAATGCTATGAAAATTCTTCGTAAAGAATTTCATCATCAAACTTTTGAACAAAGCGAATCGTCTGTAAATGATATGATTCTTCGATTTAATTTCAATACAAATGTAAAAAATGATGAACATAATTTTCGGCAATTATTTTCAATCTTATTGAATATAAAATTTAATGTTCGTGAAGAATTTCGTCCAAGATATTATGATTCATTATGGGGAAAATTACCAAGAAGATTTCGATATCTTTCAATGGAACGTTTTGTTCGTTTAACAAAAGAAAAACTTAAAAGTTTTAATGCTTTACCTTGTTTATTGGATTTTAAAAGGGAAGAATTCATTGATCAACAAGTTAATAATCATCGACAACTACAGATTAGCAATAATAATGATTATGAATCAAATGAAAAATTGGATCAACTTATACAACGATTAATTGATGATAAACAATTATGTCCAATATGTTTTCAAATAAAAAAACATTTACGTTCACATTCAATTGTTAGATGTCGTAATTTAAATGCATTTTGTCGTAAATATGGTTTGGATGATAATTTTGATGTTGGTGGTAATCGAATGAAAAATTTATCCAATTCAATGTTGAATTTATCATTGGATTCTACATCACCATCAACGGTTGAAATTTGGGCCAATCATTCGAATCAAATCGAAAACAACAACAAACAAAATAATGGTAATATGAATGGATTTCGTTATCTAAAAGTAAATGAAAAGAAAAAAACATTAGAATTTGTTAATACAGATCGTTATAAATCATCGAATGGTAATCAACAGCAACAACAACAACGTTTTGGATTTTCATCAAGAAAATCATCAAATAATCCGAATAAATTTGTTTTTCCGGAAGATTCCCCGTCATCATCATCATCATCGATGTCAAACAACAATAATGATGAAAAAAATAAAAAAATTATTCCAATCATTTTGATTGGTAATTCAAAACAACAACAACAATCATTTTATCGAATCAATGCATCAACATTTATTGATGATAATCCAAATGGTCATGATGATGCAATGATTGAAAATAATTTTCTAAAATCATTGAAAATTTCGGATGCAATAATTGAATACAAACCGTTTACCGATTTAAGAAAAATTCATTATATTATTGGTCATGTTGAATTTGATGTTAATATTGGATTCGTAATTCGTACGATAAAATTTGCCATATTTTCTCGTCAAAATACTGAACCAGATGTTTTGATTTCACCGAAAATTTTGCAAGAATTTTCCATTATAATACCATCATCATCACCAACAATATCAAAATTTGAACAACGTTTTGTTGAAATAGTTGATCGTTCAATTGATGGTAACAATAGTAACAAAAATGGTAATTTTGTGTACGATAATGAAAAACGACAAATTTCAATTGCTGGCCTATTACAGTTGAAGGTTATTCATTTGGATGATGATGATGATGTTTTAGATGATGATGAAAAAAATGAATCGACCAATTTGAATGATAAGGAGAAATCGGAATCATTGAAAAATGAAATTTTAAAAAATTTGTTGGCTACAAAATTGTTGATAAAATCATCAAATATTGAATCATCATTAAGAATTTCATTCAACGAACAGAATGATGGTGGTGATTATTATTTCGTTAATCAAGATGATAGAATTTATTTTGATTTTGATCTGGCTATTGAAGAATATTCAACAAAATTGAAAAAATTTAAAAAAGCTTATATTTATCTTTTGAAAGGCAAGAATTCAAAACAATTTTCGGATACAATGTTGATCAAATTTGATCAGAAAAAATTTCAAATTTTTATTCAATTACCAAATGATGATGAACAGAAACAAAAAGAATTTGTTTCGAATATTATACAAAAATGTCGTCAATTGGCCTGATCGAATAATGATGATGAGTTTTTTCTCAAGTCCAAAAGTGACCAACATAATTTAATCGACTCCTTTATAGTTTTTAAAATTTGAATTTTTTTTTTCCTGAAAGAATTTACATTTCAAAAACTATTATGATTCGATTTTTTTTTTGAAACAAAACTTTTACATTTTATAATCCAGATGATTTTCTATCAAACTTTTTCGCTTTTTACAAAAATAAATTCCGAACATTTTCATAAATTTCAAAGAAAATTTTTAATTCGTTTATAAAATTGTCCAAAACGATTAAGATGATAATAATATTTTAATAATAAAAATATGATTAAATAAATGCCAACAAAATGTGATAGTTTTGATTGTGATTGACAAACTAATCTTGTTTGCCATTCAAATTCTTTTGGTTTTGTTTTTGTTGGTGTAACTGACGTTGACGTTGTCGATGTCGATGTTGTATCGATAGTTTGACAAATAAATTTTCGTAAATCACTTTGATCAATAATTATAATGGCCATTATAATTGTAACCAAAAATAAATCAAATATCGATGATAAACGATAATAAAATTCATCCTGTAATATTTCAATACTGATTATTGTATAAAATATATGACGAAATTTTTTCAGATAATGATAAAAAATATTATCAGCTTTTTTATCATGATTATCATCTTCGTCATCATCATCATCATCTTCGTCTTCTTCTTCTAAATTGTTTTTGTCGATAAATTTGAAATCATTTTGACAAAATTCACAATAATTTTGTCCGGAACGTCGAGAAAATATTTGTAAACAATCCAAATGACTATGTGATAACATTCGATTGGCACATTCACAAACAATGTTCATTGGACGATTATTTTTATTCGAATCATTATCTTCCGAATGTTTTAAACAAAATCGACAAAACCGAATCAATTTTTTACCTTCAAGAATTTTCCTCGATGTCAATGATGAAAATGATGATGATGATGGTGACATTGTTGTTGGTGGTGATGATAATGATGGTGGTGACATTCTTTCCGATGTATAGCTTAATGATGATAATGATGGTGAATGTTTGGACATTATTTTCCGGCCTTTTTTTCTGTATTACCAAACAAAACAAAACAAACAAAAAAAAATCGTTGTTATTTGAAAGAAATTCTCCTTTTATTTTGATTTGTTTTATTGTTATTTGTTTGACATTGGAATTTATTGTGATTTTGTTTGTTTGTTTTGTTTTTTGGTGCATTAATTAAATCAACTTGTCAACTTTGTTTGTTCGACGCCATTGATTGTTTTTCGGGTATGGATTTTTTTTTTGTTTTGTAAATAAAACAAAATTTACTGATTTTTTTGAGGATTTGTTTTTTTAGGATTCAAGGAATGTTGTTTGTTGGTAAACCCGTTACCATAATGGATGCAGCAATGATTATTGCAATTTTATCTTGGTTACCGTTGATGGATTGTCGCCATGGATTTTTCTTGGTTGCTCGCTTGTATTAATCAATCAATCATCGATGTTGTTTTTTGGCTTGGTTTTTGGATTGCAAAAAATGTGAAACAAAATTTCTTTTTTTGGTTTTTTAGCTCAAAAACAACAGCGAAAAGGTCATCGATTTTTTTCAAAGTTTTTCTAATCAAAATTCGATATACTAATCATGGGTCAAATACTGCCCACAGCATCGATGCAAAAACCACCTGAGCATAGACCGGGTGAACATTTTCTACCATATGATGCAAATGCATGGCGTCGTTTATCATCAACATATCTTAATCAAATGATTTCAACTGGTAAATTAACTAAAAATGAATTGGAAATTATTGAATTAGAACGATATTGGTTAAATCGTCGTAAAGCTAATTATCGTCGTAGTTATTCATTAAGTCCTGTTGAACAACAACGAAAACGACATGGCCGTGCTGGCGGTTATCGATCGATGAATAGTGCATCAAGTTTAGGCAATTTAGCCAATATTTCCAAACAAAATCGACCAACAACAGCATCACCTGTTTTAAGAAATTTTCAACAAAGTAGTCATATAACCAGAAAAGGTGATAATCGTTATCATTCATTAGTGAATGTTTCATCAATTAAACCAACAAAAGATCAGATTAAAAATTTAGCATCAAATTTAGCTTATCCTGATGATCGTTATTCTGATCGTAATCATCAATCCAATCATCAACAGCAACAAAAAACATTATCACCACCAGTGCGAACATTTCGAAATGAACATTTTTCACCACCATATGATTCAAGTTTTAGTTCATATGATTCATCGAATCAATCCAGTTTGGTAAATCAACAACCGCATCAACAACGACATGGTCGATTCGAACGAAATAAATTCGCTAATAAAACGCTTATTAATCCAACAACAACAACAACACTGAAATCTGGCCATGATAATGGTAAAATTCAAAATAATTTTCAAAACAAAAATGATGATGATTATTCACAAAAATATCCTGCCAATTTTCGATTTCCAAATCATTCTTCTTCGAATAGAGAGCAGCCACCGAAAAAATTTCAAGAATATTGTCCAACAAAAAAATCGGCTTTAAAACAATCGAATGGATATACCAGGAACGATAATGTTGATGGTGATGGTGGTGGTGAACAGGATCCATTTCTTCGTGATAATCATGATGATAAACAAAGATTAATAAATAATGATTCACCAGATTCCGGTTTCATACGAAATGATTCGATTCGTACAACAGGTGATCAAAGAAATTTTCAAACAGATCCATTATGTCAAAGTAATGAACGTTTAGTTGAAAAACAACGACAACGACAAAATAAATTTGATTCAAGTTTTAAACGTCGTCAACAACAATCTTATGTACCGGATTTTCGTATCAATTCTCAAGAACATTTAGATCAATCATATCGATCAATACCACAGCCAACTATCGATGATTTTCAAGTGATCAATGATTCTACTAATCGTGTTCATTTTGATGATTTCGGACAGGAAAAAAAACATCGACCTGGTTCTGCACAATTAATGCGTCATTATCCGAATAATCAGAATAATAACATTGATCGTTTTCGTTATTCAATCGAACAACAACATCCATCAATCCGTACAAATTATGCCGATTATTATCAACGTTTTGATCGTCCACAATTAATATTTTCGAAAATTATTTATATAATGTTATTAATTTTAAATATTTGCCTGGTTATTTGGACAAGTATTTATATGCATTTTGCATCGATTAAAATTAAACTTGGTGAACCTATCAATGGTAAGTCTCTATCTGTTTTGTTTTGTTTAATTTTAACACAAGTAAATTCTTATTTCAATTCAGGTCGATTATATTCAATGACACACATCGAAAGACATTTATGGCAGGCAATTGTTATTGCAATTTTATCACTAAATTGTTTAACCACAATGGTAGCTATTTATGCAACAATTCGACAAAAATATTGGCCAATATTCATTACAACAATTCTATTCTTTCTAATCGGTGGTTTTGGTGCAAATTCTGAATTTTTACGTGGTAGTATTTCTGCTTGGTTATTACCATTATTTTGTGGAAATTTTGGTATTATTTTAACACATCAATTAGCAATTAATCATTATTCAATATGATTTTTATTTTGTTTTTCAATTAAAAAAAATACCATTATCATTAACATTGGATGTATGAAAAAAATCATAATAATAATAAAAAATATGGACAGTTTTGAGTAAAATGAGATGAGGTAAAATAATTGTCTGATGATCATTTTTTTGGTCGTCGTTAGTTGTTACCATTGTTGTTTTTCATCATGATCATCGTAATGATGTTCATGATGACCATTAATAGTAGCCGTAGTAATATCACCATTAATAATTTCTGTATCATTATCATTAGTATCAAAACTTTTTGTTGTTGTTGTATTTGTTATTTCACTACTACGTTCAATACCCATATAATCTTCAATTAAACATTCTAAATCTTCACGTGCTTCTTGAAATTCTGTTTCTTCCATACCTTCCGATACATACCAATGTACAAATGCACGTTTATTATACATAAGATCAAATTTCCGACATAATAAACGCCAACATTCAATCATACCAGTATGATTTGATAATAAACAAACTGAACGATTTGTTTGACCAATATCATCCAACATTTTCGGTGGTTCAGATGCAATACCACATTTCATACCGGTTGGTGACCAATTAACAAAATTTTCCTGTCGTTTTAAATCAATCATAGCTTGATTAATTTCTTTTGGTTGACAATCACCACGATATAGCAGGCAACTTGTTATATATTTTCCATTTTCTTGTTTCGATTGTTGTTGCTGTTGTTGTTGTTTTGATTGATGTAATGTTGCAGATGAATTATATTTAATCATACGATTTTTACTTTCAAAACAAAATTGTGTTAATGTTTTAATCGATTGATCATATGGTTGACAACATGGATTTGAAATTGGTGCATATGATGCACTTGGAAAATGAATTCTTGGATATGGTACTAGATTGGTTTCAAATTCAGCCAAATCAACATTTAATGGTCCACCAAAACGTGTTGATGATGTTACTGAACTTGCTACCAATGATATTAATTGATTAATATGTGAATAATGTACTCGGTCTAAATTCAATTGTCGTTGACAAATATCATAACAAGCTTCATTATCAAACAAAAACATTAAATTCGAACGTATCAATGAATGATGTGTACGAAATAATGCATTATATGGTTCAACAATAGCAGTGGATAATTTTGGTGATGGAAATACATTAAATTCCAAACGTTGTTGTCGATGATCACAATGATTAAATTGTGTTTCTAATTGATCAATAAGACGAGCTGAAAAACCAGAACCAGTACCACCACCAAAACTATTAAACATTAAAAATCCTTGAAAACTATCACAAAGTTCAACAGATTTTCTTATAATATCAATAGTTGGTGATAATAATTTGGATGATAATGTATAAAAACCACGTGAAAAATTATTGGCAGCATCTTCTTTACCAGTGACTGTCATTCGACTGGAAAAAAGATTTTTACCTTTTGGACCAGATAAAATTTGATCAATAACCGATGGATCATTATCAACCATAACTGTACGTGGTACATAATAACCATTACGACTAGTTTCATTAAACATTGTAGCTAGAATTTCATTTTCATTACGATTTGTATGTTGTTGATCTAAATGACCATCCGATTCAATACCATGTTCAGCACGTATAATATCCCAAAATGTTTCACCAATCTGTATACCAGCCTGACCGATCAATAATGTTATACATTCACGCATTGTTTTGTTTGGTTTTTGGTTGAAAAAAAGATTGAATTTGAGGCAACTGAAGAACAAGAAACACAAAAAAACCAATGTTGTTGTATTTTTGATTGATTCAAACACGGTTGAGATAAATTCTATCGACAAACAGGGCTTATTTCAATGACTTGGCAAAAAATTTTCATTTTAATTAATTTAATTTACTTGAAAATAGAATTTACTTTTTGTTTTGTTTTGTTTGAGAACATTTTTTCGTTTACGTCTAGCCATTTCGAATAATTCATCAGTAATTCGATTATTTAACAACGTTGATGATGACATTGTTTCGATGTTTTTTTTCAATTCATGATCATCAAGATTCGCGAATCATTGCGATGAAGAATTTTCGATGAAACAAGAACAAAACAAAAAAATCCACCCGAATCTGAATTTCTTTTTGATTCTGCGCACTTTTTTTGCTTCGACCATCTGGCCAACCCAATCGAAAACTTCGAAACGGCAGACAAAGGGGCATTGGCTCAATAATGGTCTTCGTTGTTGTTGATGTTTTGATTTCTTTACGTATCATGTGATCATTATCCATCATCGATCATCCGTCATCCGTCATAATCGTTATTATCACATGACATGGGTGGTGGTTATTTTATTTGGTGATGATTGATTCATCGAATTTTGGTTTGTTTTTTTTTGCGCAAAAGGTTTGTGTAAACGAATTTTTTCATTCGAAATAATTTCAATTTTTCTTTTAATTTTCCTGAAATAAAAAAAGGAGATTTATGGAAGCCAAAATATCGATTCGAATCAAATGATTGTCCAACATAAACATTGTTATCTTTAATTTTTGGTTTCTTCGATTTTTGGCAATCCTTTGGTGATGTTTTTGTTTTTTTCTGGAAAAAAATGAAACATTCTCAATGATGAATGCAATCGATGATCGATCAGTTTAATTGTTCTATAAAGAAGATATGGCCTGTTGTTGGTCGAAGGATTTGAATTTTTTCAACCAAAAACAACCAAAATGGAAATCAAACCATCAGTCTAATCTTATCAATCATCAAAAGCTACTGAAGCAAAATTTATCAACTAAATTTCTATGATGATCAATGAATGAATGAATGAAATGTCTTTGAATCTTTCAATCAATCAATCAACAACAATTTCTGGTCACAAGCTTATAAGCGTTGTTTATTTGTTTGTTATGCGTGGTGTGTGCAATAATATCTTTCGATGAAATCAATTTGTAATCTATATTTTTTTCCAATTCGAATGATTAACAAAAATAAAATTTTCCTTTTTCGAAAATCTTTTGATTTTATGATTTAATTTTATTTATTCAATTGATTAGTTTGGTTATGATCAAACCAAACAAACAAAAAACGAAAACAAACTCAACGATGTCTTATTCGACGACGACAACGACTACAACATTTTTGTTGGCAACAATTTTTCTAATCGGTTTATTCGAAATCAAATCAATACAATCGGCAAAATTACAGGTACCGTTTCAAGATCTGGCAACACCTAAACCGGCAATATCAAGTAAAATTTATTATCTAACTGAATCATGTTCGATTTGTGAAAAATTTCGTCCGGATTTTACACGGGTAAAAAAACCACCCGGTCTTAATGAAACTTTGGAATCCGAACCATCAACCGAACCGAAACCAGATTCAGATGATGGTGAAACATTAAAACGTGTACCACGTCAAACATCATTAGCAACAAAATTAAAAGGTGATGATCCAGATAAAGATATTATTTTGTTAGATTATCGTAAACAATCATTAAATGATAGTGATTTACAACTGAATGGTACATGGTCATGGAAAAAATCGTTTAAAAAAATTCATGCTAAATGGATTGAACGTAAAAATGATACATCGAAAAAAATTCAACAAGATGTGGTGGCAAAATTAAAAATAGAAAAAACACCTGAAGGTGAAGAGAAAAAAAAATTAGTTTTAGAATTTAAGAAAAAAATTCAAAATCTTACATCATTAAATTCAATGATGATGATCGATGAACCATATAATGCACAAGAATTTGAAGAAGAAATGCTTGGAGATGATGAAGATAATGGTGATAATGAAGATGGTGAAAAGGAAAAAATTCTTGTTAAACGTGAAATTAAACAAATATTTTTGGATCCAATCAAACAACCATCGATTGTTATACGTTCGAAACGATCGACAGCAATCGATACATCGAATGATCCAACTGGTATGAATACGGATAATCCATTGATTGAAATGACAACATTACCAACACAGATTTTCGATGAAAATGATCAACTTTTAACAAATGATAATGTAACTGAATTGAAAAAGAATGGTACCTATGAAAAATGTCGACTATTGATACGGTTGAAAGCAAATCCCGAAGATATTATTACCGATACAGCGGAAGAAGAAGTAAAAGAAAAAGAATTAGATTCGAAAGTTGTTACTGAAGATAAAAAAGAAACATCGCCTGAACCAAATGTAGCAGATTCTGTGGAAAAAGTAGACGAAATAAAATCATTGGAGAAAATTACCGATAATGTTGTTGTTGGGGAACAAAAAGAAAAAGAAAAACAACCAGAAAAATTGGTTGAAACGGAAGAAAAATCATCGAATGTTTTGGAAGAACCAAAAATGATCGAAAAAGTAGCGACAAAAATTGAAGAAACGGTTTCAGACATGGTTTCTCCATCATCACCGGCACCGGAATCGACATTGACAAAAGAAGAGGAAAAATCTACAAATACTGTTGAAGAATTGAAACCAATTTTAACCATTTCTGATGACGAAAAATTAATCGCAGCAGCAACAACAACAACGAAAGCGGAAACACCGATCGAAAGCTCATCACCATCTTCAAAGGAAAAAGTAAAAGAAGAAGTTGAAGCACCAAAGGTCACGCCAAAAGAAGTGGAAGCACCAAAGATCGAACCCGAAGAAGTGGAAGCACCAATTGTTAAACCAGAAACAGTTGAAACACCAAAGGTCACACCAGAAGCAGTTGAAGCACCAAAGATCAAACCAGAAGAAGTTGAAACACCGAAAGTCACACCAAAAGAAGTCGAAACACCAAAGATCCAACCCGAAGAAGTTGAAACACCAATGGTGAAACCAGAAGCAATTGAAGCGCCAAAGGTCACACCAAAAGAAGTGGAAGCACCAAAGATCGAACCCGAAGAAGTAAAGACACCGGAGGTGACACCAAAAGAAACATCCACTATATCAACAGTAACAGTTTCAACAACTGAAAAACCGAAACCAAAACCAAAATCAAAACCAACGAATCTTCAACTTGGGCTTTTGATTAATATTCGAAAATTTGTTGATGGAGTGTAAGTAGTTCAAAAAAAAATTTTGAATTTTGAATTTTAATTTTTCTTTAAAAAATTTCTTTAGTTTTGAATCAATTGAAACGGATGTAAATCAAAGTGTCACTAAAAAACGTGAAATCAAAAAAATGAATCCATTTTGGAAAAATGTAAAAATTTTTACATCCGATCCAGAAATGACTGAATTCTTTTATGATGGTGAAAAATTAACATCATTGGATAATGAATTGACGAAAAAATCAACCGACGATGGAAAACTTCGACGAAAACGTTCGACAACGGTGAAATCAAATTCATTTATGGATATGATCGATATGGATGATATTGTACGATTATTATCACCAAATGGTACAATCGATTTGAATATTGCCGATGAAAAATGGATATTATTGGAAAGAAAAATTTTCTTCAACGATGTTGATAATGATAGTGATGAAGAATTGATTTTGAATCTATATTTTAAGCCAAAAGAAAATGAAGATGAAGAAATGGTTGTTGATGATGGATTGAAACGTTCGAAAAAAATGAAAAAAGCACTTCAATGTCCAACGGGAACATTTGATTGCAATTCAGATGGCCATCTTTGTATACCGAATAGTTTAATGTAAGTTGATTTTTTTTGTTTTTTCATTTTCATTAATTGATTTTTTGTTTTTTTCGAAGATGTAACGGTGAAGATAATTGTGGTAATGGTCATGATGAAATGCTGAATTGTGCACCAACATTGAATATGTTCTATGTAAAAGATATAACATTAAGACGTCATCCAATTTCAAATGATGGTAATGGTGGTTGGTTTGATTTAGATCCAGCAACTGAAGAAATGTTTTGGCTGGGTACCAGAATCCTGTTCATTTTGTTTGCAACAAGTTTATTCCTGTATATTTTATTGCTGTTATGTCGAATGTGTGATCGATTAAGATATCCTGATAATCAATATGGATCATCATCAGCAGCATCAATGTTTTTAATACCAAAAGGAAATTATATTTCAATATCAGGTGATACAATTGAACGTAAACCATATCAGGCATGTCAACCGAAAAAATCTTCAACAGGAAAATCAAGTCGAATGGATAATCAAGGATCAAAAATACATGAATATATTTATGTGAATAATAATTATGGTCAACCACAAGGTTCAACAATTGTATCGACCGATGTACAACCACCAACATATGATAATCGTAGCCGAAGAAGTGGACAAAGAGGTCAACAACAACATCGTCGTCAATCATCCGATATAACAACCGATGATGAATATCCACCATTGTATGAAGAAACGATTCGTAATTATGGAACAAAAAAATGATGAAATGAAATTCTATTTTTGAATTTTTTCAAAAAATGAAATGAAACCGGTTCAAACCAGAATTTTTTTCTGTTTGTTATCTGTTCAGGTCTCTTCTGTCTCTAATCACATTTGATAATTTACAAAAAAAAACAAAAAAAAAATTAAAAAATCACAGAAAACAAAACACCCCACAAAATACATAAACTTACTTCGTATTTTTTTCTTCTTTCTTCTTCTAAATAGAAAAAATTCCAATGTAAACCGATATCCATTTTGATTGATAAAATTTTTCTTTTTGATTAAAATAAAGTCTATCGACCGTTCTGCAAAAATATTGTCCTTTGGTTGTTGTTGTTGTTTTTGGACGAGAGTTTCTTCATTTGTTATGAGAGACATGATCATGAATCGTTTGGAAAAATATTTTGAATTAAAACAATCACCGAACATACAGGCAATGTATGTTTGGATTGATGGCCGTCAACAATTACGTTCAAAAACAAAAACATTAAATTTTCAACCAAAATCAATAACCGAATTACCATTATGGACAACTGATGGTCATTCAACTTATTTAACAGAAATAAATTCTGAAATTTATTTGTTACCAATCCGAATGTATAATGATCCATTTCGTGGTGATAATAATCGATTGATATTTTGTGAAACATTGTTGGAAGATTTTAGCCGGACAAAATCGAATACAAGACATTCATGTAATTTGGTTATGGATATGATTGCCGATCAAGAACCATGGTTTAGTATTGAACAAGAATATTCATTACTGGATGGTAATGATCGTAATAAACCATTAGGTTGGCCAACAGGTGGTTTCCCAGGGCCACAAGGTCCATATTATTGTGGTGTTGGTGCTAATCGAGTATTTGGCCGAGATATTGTTGAAGCACATTATCGTGCATGTATGTATGCTGGTATTAAGATTGCCGGTGAAAATGCTGAAGTAATGCCATCACAATGGAAATTTCAAATCGGTCCATGTCCAGGAATTTTGATTGGTGATGATCTATGGATGGCACGTTTCTTATTACATCGTATTGCTGAAGATTTTCATGTTTCGGTTACATTTGATCCGAAATCAATTCCCGGCGATTGGAATGGTGCCGGTGCTCATACAAATTTTTCGACCAAAGCTATGCGTGAAAAAGGTGGTATGGCTGTGATTGAATCAGCTTGTAAAAAATTGGAAAAGAATCATGCCAAACATATTGTCAAATATGATCCAAATGGTGGTGCTGATCGTAGTGCATCGGTACGTATTCCTCGACAAGTTGCCGACGATGGTTATGGTTATCTTGAAGATCGACGACCATCATCAAATATGGATCCATATGTTGTATGTGAACAATTAGTTCGAACAATTTGTCTAAATGAATAATAATGAAATAATCGATTCTATCGATTGATATTCGATTATTCAATTCGTTCTTTACTTTTCGAATCGAACACAAAAAAATTCGAACCAATTCGAATTCAAAAAAAAAAATATATAGTCTTTGTGTCTGTTTGTGACATTGAAATTCATTTGATCTGCAGATCTGATCTGATCGATCGATATATAATTATCTTGTTGAAATGTGAAATGAAAAATCACCAAAAAAAAAAAATATACACGAAAAGAGTTCAATCAATAAATTTTCAATATTTCGTAAAAGTTTCCAATTCATTCGCGCATGTTTACTTATCATCATGTTTCTCTGTTTTTATTGTTAGCAAGAATCTGATTCTTGCTATATATAATTTTGCAAAATATCCTTGAATCATCATCATCATTTTGTTTTTGAAAATTTTTTGTTTTTGAAAATTACCACTACCGTTTTTTTTTTATTTTGCAACCATCGAAGCAAAATGACGCCATCATCAACAAATTATGGTATAATGGTTGGCTGGCAGGCTGGCTGGCATCAATGTTTTTTTTTGTTTGATTTTTTTTCCAAAGTGAGAACAGAACAGAACAGGAATTCATTTTTACCACGAGAAACAAACTGCAGGAGAAAAACAAAATGAAGAAGCCCAATTCACAGGATATATATGTTGTGTCTATGTTTATTTTGTGTTAAAAATGTTCTTTTTTTTCTCTTCTCTCGCTTTATGTCATTTTATATTCACAATTCTTCTGTTGAATTAGCTAGAAATTCTATAGTTTTTTCATTTTATATAGATTTTTTTCTGTTTTCTTTTTTTTGTTTTTTGTTTTCAATTTAGCAAGTCACGTTCTTGAAATATTTGTGGCTTTTTCCTTTTTTTTTGATTTTTTGAGCGAAAAACATGCGTAAAAAGTTTTGAGTTTTTTTTTTTTTTTGATGATGATTGTTGTCAATTAGGAAATTTTCTTCGAAATATATTGCTATCAAAAAGGGACTGAATTTTATTTCCGGGAACATTTTTTCGTTTTCGTTTTTTTTTTGAAACGAATTTCCAAAATCAAATTCAATTTCATTTTTCGCCATTGAAAATTTCATCATTTGATGTGTTATTACAACACACACCGTTATCACCCAATCAGCATCCTTATTATCGACGGGAAACAACCGCAAAAACAACAAAAAAATTTTTTCCAATCAAAATCGTGTTATCGATTGATTGAAAATTAAAAATCAATATTGTTTTTTGTTTTGTTTTCAAAACAAAACAAACAACCAAAAATAATTATGTTGGGTAAGTTTTTTGTTTGTAAAATTTTGTTTTTATGAAAATCATTTTTTTCAAATCCAAAATCCGGACCAACCCAAATTCGAATGTTTTTGAGATTCGAACGTTTTTGAGTTTCGAACGTTTTTGAGTTTCGAATGTTTACATTCGAACGTTTTTTTTTGGTCATGACATTGGCCTTGATATTCATTTAAAAATTTCATTGAATTAAAAAAAAATTCAATTTTAATGAAATTTCATGATGATGATGATGATCAATGTCAAAATCCTAAAATGATGATGATGATGATGGCAATGAACGAAATCTAAAACAACAATAATTACACATTGCGTATACGTTGAATAATGTATTTTTAGTAATGTATTTTTTTTCCTGCTTTTTGAAAATATTCTGTTCTTTGAAGAGAAAAAACTTCGTCATCATCATCATCATCATTTCTATTCTGATTGATGAAGGTGGAAATCATTCGAATTTTTATTTCAATTGTTATTCATTCGGCGTCATAAGCGGAACCACACACGCGCTCGCGCCAATCACGATGTTTGAATGAATTTCTTTTTTTTTTAAACAAAATTTTAAACAACAAAATCAAACGGTACTTGATAATGACTACTTCGAGTTTTTTTTGAAAAAAAAAGTCAAAATGATTATCACATTTTGATCTATTGATTTATTGAATGTTTAGTTGCGTAAGGTTTTCTCTCTGTGTGTTTGCTAGTTTCAATCTTGTAATTTGTTGTTGTTGTTACTTTTGTATGTCTCATCCCAATCAATCAAAATGTAAGTTTTTTTTGCACTTGTAAAATAGAAAAAAAATTTCTAAATTTATTCCGATTGATTTGATTTGATCGAAATAAAATCAATATCAATCAATCAATTTTCTTATAAATAGAAATAAAAATTGTATTTCCTTATTATTAATAATTAAAATTATTATTACATTCGATTTGATCGAATTCGAATCGATTGGATTCAATCAAATCGAATGATTATTTTCATATTTGCATATTCTTCAATTCTTGGCATGTTTTTGTCTTTGTGTTTCAATTCAAAAGTTTCGAAATTTGTTGTTTGTTTTTTCTTTAAAAAATTTATTTTGTTCATCGATTAAATCGATTCATTTTTCTACTTTTACTGAATGAATGAATGAATAATATTTTAGTGATATTATTTTTAGTAACATTAACCAGATGACAATGATGACATTTTCGAAAAAAATATATGCATCCATTAAATCCTTAATAGTGTTGTAATATGATTTATTGTCGTAAACATTTTTCAATTCTCATCATTTTTGAGCGTGGTTACTTTTATATCATTTTTCTTTTTTTTCCTATTTGAATATTTCATTCATCCATTCAACAGATGTGAGTGTAGGTTTGATGCGTGTGTGCGTCAAATGTACATTTTTTGCACTGAAAAAAAATGTCATAACCTTAATCAGATTGATTTGATGCCAACAAAACAAAAGAGAGAGAAATTCTTGAAAAGAATTTCGTAATTTTTCTGATGATAATATCAAAAAAGAATTTTCATGGTCAAAAAGAAAGTTTTAGTTTTTCCTTTTTTCTTCCGTTGATGATTGAAATTAATTAATTCTATGTTTACCAAGTGTTTACTAATGTAATTTTTGTTACAAATTATCATTGATGATGATTTCTTTTTCTTTTTTTAATAAACGGCAATCCTAAACCTTCCAATATTTGTTGTTGTTGTTTTGGTTTTTTTTACATTTCAGCAAACTATCAACAGCCAAAAGGGAAATGGATTGTTGTCAGTTTGTTTTTTGTTTTTAATAAAAACAAAAACAAAAAAAAAACAAACTGATTTGACCTTCAGAGAAAGAGAGAATGAATATATTGAATTGATTGATGAAATGGTTAATTGAAATCAAAAAATTCAGCCAAAATTTTTCCATCCTTCATAATAATCATCATTTAAATCACAAGAAAAAAAAATAAATCATGCATTTGACAAATGTTAATCTTTGCCATTCATATATGTCTAGTTGTATGGTGTGTGTGTGTTTGAAAGATGATGATAAACTTTTTATAAATGAAAATTTCCATAGTACCCATGGCTGCAGCGGCATCCAAAATGAAAATCCATTGTTGAATTTAAGTACATTTTTTTTCGTTTCGTTTGTTCATTTTCAATCAATCAATCGATGATAATTAAATATTATGCATTTTGATGAAATCATCTGATCATCATGTGATCATCATCATTATTAGTTCATTTTAGATATCTCTATGTGTCTGTGTTTAGTTATCGATATTTTTTTAGTTTCCGAATATGGTTAATTATATAAAAATAAAAACCTAATTAAATCAATAATATTGGATGTCATCATCATCATCATCATCATTGTGATCATGATTTGATCATATTTTTTCGGGAAAACAGCACCCACTAAACTTTTTTTTTTGCTTTGATTATCTTTTTTTTTCTCCAATATTTGGTTTTTAATTTCATATTTTGGCAATTGGGAATTTTCAATCTTTTTTTCTGATTTTGATTTGATTTATTGATTTTCGTCTGTTGTTTACTTTTCTCTCTCACTCTGTTTATATAATGATTTTTATCCATTATACTTGAAAACTTGTATTTGAGATGTACCAAACATAATGTTTGTTTGCTTTCAAAAAATTGAAAATGATGATGATAAGCAAAGTTGGTGTTTTGTAGGTCTTTTCTTTTGGTTGATTGGGTTGTGTTGAAATATGATGATGATGATGAGAACCAACTTGAGTTGAAATTGAATCGAATGTTAGTTTTTTTTTCGCTGGCCACCAAAGATTCAAATGGCAAAGATATTATTTCAAAAAAAATCATGGTATTTGATGATGATGATACTGATAATATCAGACTTTTCTTTCTGAATGTCTTATGTTTATCTGCTTTCAGTTAGTCTGTATATTCGAATCGGCTGTTGTTATCATCTGACAACAACACATACTATGACGACAATATTTTTGTTGAAAAAAATAGAAAGATAGATGCTTCAAGGATTTCCATTTCGCTTTCTTCTTTTCAATCCTCATTATCATCATTGAATTCAATTGAATAAACCATCGTTTAATCATTTTTTGTACATCATCTCGACTCTCTCAATTTCATTTCTAAAATCATCATTTTGAATCAATCAATCAAATTTTTTTTTTCAATATTTAATCTCTTACTCTTTTACTCATTGTATGTTTGTTTGTTTGTTGATGTTTGTTGTTTATATCAGTAATTTTTTTTCTTCTCCCAAACATCACTTATCAGAAAATTCCCCTCATCAAATACATACACCACAAACACACATAATATTATCCACCCATCAACATAACCAAACGCTTTTTCCAGGAAACTTTATTCCTTTATATACCGCAAATTTTATTTTCATTTCAAAAAATTTTTTCAATTATAAATATTTTTGTTTATTTGGTTTTTGATTTTTATTCTCAAATTTATTTTCCTACTTTTTTTGTTTGTTTGTTTGTTTGTGTTTGAAATAGAAATCAGTATGCAAAATTTAACCAGTTTGGAATCGAATGCTGGCCTTTTAGCTAGATATATGGCCCTTCGACAACCGGATAATGTTGTACAGGCAATGTATGTTTGGATTGATGGCCGTCAAGGTCTTCGTGCTAAAACACGAACATTGAGTTTTGTACCAAAACATGCATCTGAATTACCTATTTGGAATTTTGATGGATCATCAACCTATCAATCGGATGGTTCAAATGCTGATGTTTATCTATTCCCGGTACAAGTTTATAATGATCCATTTCGTGGTGGCAATAATAAATTAGTTTTATGTGAAACAATTCGTTATGATAAAACACCAACACCATCAAATACTAGACATACTTGTAATGTTGTTATGGATTTGGCTGCCGATCAAGAACCATGGTTTGGTATTGAACAAGAATATTCATTATTGGATGGTACCGATCGTCATAAACCATTAGGTTGGCCAACAGGTGGTTTCCCCGGACCACAAGGTCCATATTATTGTGGTGTTGGTGCTAATCGGGTATTTGGCCGAGATATTGTTGAAGCACATTATCGTGCATGTATGTATGCTGGTGTTAAGATTGCCGGTGAAAATGCCGAAGTAATGCCATCACAATGGGAATTTCAGGTAAAACAAAATTGATTTTTCAATTTTGGTTTTCATTTGCTTAATAATTTTATGCTATTCATATTATTAGGTCGGTCCATGTCCAGGCATTTCGATTGGTGATGATCTATGGATGTCACGTTTCTTATTACATCGTGTTGCCGAAGATTTTCATGTTGCTGTTACATTTGATCCCAAATTGATTCCTGGTGATTGGAATGGTGCCGGTGCTCATACAAATTTTTCGACCAAAGCTATGCGTGAAAAAGGTGGTATGGCTGAAATTGAATCAGCTTGTAAAAAATTGGAAAAGAATCATGCCAAACATATTGTCAAATATGATCCAAGTGGTGGTGCTGATAATGCACGTCGTTTGACCGGTAGCCATGAAACCAGTTCAATGGATAAATTTACATATGGTGTTGCTAATCGTGGTGCTTCAGTTCGTATTCCTCGACAAGTTGCCGATGATGGTTATGGTTATCTTGAAGATCGACGACCAGCATCAAATATGGATCCATATGTTGTATGTGAACAATTAGTTCGAACAATTTGTCTAAATGAATAGAATTTGGATGAATTCGATGCCTCTAATATACACCAACAACATTCGCAACCAAACATAACTCTACTTCCATATAGAAAAAATAATAATCATGATGAATCCTAAATTAAAAAACAAAACAAATAATTATCAAAAACTTAAAAAACAAATTCGACATTGAAAAAAAATAATCAAATGGAACAAAGAATTTTTAAAAAATGAGAAACTTTTTGATCCCTTAAAATCAATCAATCAATCGATTGATCAATTAATTAATCAATTTCATAATAATCTTTATCTGTTTTTAAAAATTGTGTTTGTAATTATTAATCAATCAATTTTATCTTTAAATATTATCATTACATACTGAAAAAATTGCAAAATCAAAATTCGTGTTTTTGTTTTTTTTTTGTTTGTTTTAATTCACATTTTACACACGTGCGCACACGAAAATTTTGCAAAAGAAAGATATCAATTTCTGTATCCAAAAAAAGCAACAAAAAAAAATTATTGTGATTAGTGTTTTTCAATCATTTCGTTTTTTTTCCTTTTGGAAATTTTCTCTTTTTGTTTTTATTTCATTTCAAAAATGATAATGCCTAAATGAAGTTCCAATTTATATATTTTAGTAATGGAAAAAAAATTCATTGAAAATTGATTGATTAAACCAAAAAAAAAAAAAAAAACAAACTTTGTTCTCTGTTTTCTCTTGATTGAGAGATTTTTCCTTTTATTGGTCGGTTTGAAAATTTGCCGGATATTTTCGCGGCATCTAATTTTGATCATGTTACCCAGGTAACCAGATTAATGTGTTGTAGAAATAGTCCTATGATACCGCAAATGATGATGATGATTTGATCAAAAGAAACCGAAATTGGTTGTTGTTGTTGTTATCATCAAATCAAATCAAAATCAAAAAACAACAACAACAACAACAAGCAATCAGGTAAGTTTTATGATTCATTTTGCCATTTGTTTTAAACAATATCAGCCATTATTTTCTGGTTTTTGACATTTTGAAAAGTTGTTCTTCATCTTCACTTTGTCATTTTGAATATATTGATTGATTTATTTTGTGCGAAACAAAAAAAAAATGGTTGCAAAACAACGTAATAGTAATCCAATTGATTATGCATATCGTTATCAACATGATGCACAAGATGTTCGTACACCTGAATATCGTTTTGTTAAATATTTTAATCTTTTAATGGCTATTGGATTTTTAATTTCATCTGTATGGATTTTTATATTCATTTTTAAACAAGCTGATTGGGAATATAATCTGTCGTATGAAAATGCCAGAAAAAATTCTGCTGTAACCACATGGAAATGGTGGACATTTACATCGGTTATTGTTGCAGATTTACTTGGCCTAATGTTTATTGTACGTGCTATTTATGCTGAAAATCCAAATCAATTAATAACATTATCAATATTATCATATGTTTTTGCTGTTTGGGGTTTGGCAAATGTTTATCTACGTGGATCGATTGTTTGCTTTGTTCTACCATTTACTGTTGCAACATTATCCGTTATACAATTTTTAATGCAACGTGATGAAGATAAAGAATTTCGTATTAGTCAAGAATTACGTTGTAGACGTCAACCAAAACCAACAATGGAAACATTTCTTGATGATCATGAACGTGCTGTGGAAAAACTTTGAACAGAGGGGGAAAAACAATGAATTTTCGGGAATTTTTTTTTTTGGAAATTTAATTAAATTTTAATGAAATTTTTGTCACCATATAAAAACCATTGACCAATAAAGTTTTTCAGAACATTATACTGTTTTTGGTTTGATTTGATTTTAGTTTTTTTGTTTTTGTTTCCATTTTCGAATTGTTTTATTTATTTTTTCGATTTCAAAGTTAATCAAATTTTTTATTTTTTAATTTCGTGAAAAAAATCATCATCATCAACTTAACGAATTATGGCTAAAACATCACGTAAAAGTTCAACACGTCAAATGGCCGATTCTGGCCAAGCAAAAATCGGTTTTATTGGTGCAGGTAAAATGGCACAGGCAATTATTCAAGGACTGGTTAAATATGGCCGGGTTGATGCACAACGTATACATGTTGCAGCACCAAGTAATACTAATGTTGAACATTTAAAAGAAGAATATAAAGGTATAAAAACATCAAAACGTAATATCGATATATTTGGTCGATTTGATTGTGATATAATATTCATCTGTGTAAATCCACATGTTATTCGTAATCTTTATCGTATTGGTGGTTCACAGCCGGCTGCATTGACAACAAATTATATACCAAATATGCGTCATCCAGCATATGTTCTTTCATTAGTATTTGGTTTTACTACCGAACAGATTAAACAATGTTTATTGAATCCAGAAGATCCATTAAAATATTCAGTAAAATTTCATCGTTGTGTTATTAGTCCATCGGTTGCATATGGTGTTGGTAATTGTTATCTAGATGTTGAACCTGATAGTACAAATTTAGCTGAACCAGTACGTGATATATTATCACGTGTTTGTAAATTAGAACAATTAACAGCCGATATGATGGATATTTGTTGTATTATTGCTGGTGCTGGAATGGCATTTGTAAGTGTTTTTTTTTATATCCCTGTTCATTTTTTATATTTTTTTTTCTCTCTTAGTCATTGGAATTTTTAAAAGCAATGTCAGATGGTGGTGTAAAATTAGGAATGGCAAGAAATAATGCAACAAAATTGACAGCTAAAATGATATCATCGGTTGCACAAACATTAATTTCATCGGGTAAAAATTCAGATTTTTTAAAAGATGAAGCATGTAGTCCATCGGGTGGTGCTGTTTATGGTCTAATGCAATTAGAAAAAAGTAAAGTTCATTCAAGTATTTGTGGTGCTGTTGATGCAGCATTTCAACGTGCAAATCATATGGCAACAAGTGGAAATACTGATTAAAAAAAACAAACAAACAAGCAAAAGTGGTGAATGAGAGAGGGGGGTAGATGGATGAAATTTCCCACAAATTGTTGTTAATGTTTGTGTGGTTTTTTTAAAAAATTGAATTAAATTTTTTTTTTTCAAATTGAATTTCTAAATTAAACAGCGTAGATGGCAGCACGTCATCTATTTTTTTTTCATCAAATTTTTATAAACTTTGCACTTTGAAATTAATGAAAAAAATTTGGATTTTTGATGGAAAATTTTTATTATTATTATTCAAAATTAATAATGTACTATTGTTAATATAGAAAATGATTGATAATAGTATCCTCATCATCATCATTATTCGAATCATTTGATATCAGAAAACCAATTTTTTTGGCTGTTCCCATGAAAATTCATCACGACCAAAATGTCCATATGCACCGATTTGATCATAGATTGGTGCATGTAAATTCAATTCTTTGATTATCATACCGGGACGAAGATCAAAATTATTTTTAACAATTTGTAATAATTCTTTTGTTGATTTTGTTCCGGTTCCATAATCCATTATTGTAATTGAAATTGGTTGAGCAACACCGATTGCATATGAAATCTATATTTTTAAAAAATTTTTAATTAATTTAAAAATAAAACTTTTTAAAAAGTTTTAAATACCTGAACCAAACATCGGCTACAAAGACCAGCTTTAACTAAACTTTTAGCTACCCATCTGGCAGCATAAGCAGCCGAACGATCAACTTTTGATGGATCTTTACCACTAAATGCACCACCACCATGTGCACCCCATCCACCATATGTATCGACAATAATTTTACGACCAGTAAGACCGGCATCACTAAATGGACCACCAAGTACAAAACTACCACATGGATTAATATAATAACGTGTTTTTTCATCCAATAACCATTCCGGTATAACAGCTTTGATTACTTTATCCTTTACTTCACGACGTAATTCATCAATTGATATTTTTTCCGAATGTTGTGTCGATACAACAACCGTATGAACACGTGTCGGTATTGTACGACCATTAATAACATGATATTCACATGTTATTTGTGATTTTGAATCTGGTCGTGCCCACCATAAATCACCTGATCGTCGTAATTCGGCCAATTTTGCATTGATTTTATGTGCAAGTACAACAGTCAATGGCATACATTCTTCAGTTTCATCTGTTGCATAACCAAACATTATACCTTGATCACCGGCACCAATATCTTCATCCGAACGTTTATGATGTACACCAGATGCAATTTCCGATGATTGTTGTTCAATAGCAACCAATACATTACAGGTTTTATAATCAAAACCTTTTTCACTTGAATCATAACCAATACGTTTTACTGTTTGTCTGACAACATCTTGATAATCAATATGTGATGATGATGATATTTCACCAAAAACCATTATCATTCCGGTTTTTGTAATTGTTTCACAGGCAACTTTTGCATTTGGATCTAATCGCAAAAATGCACTCAATACAGCATCACTAATTTGATCACACATTTTATCTAAATGGAAAAAAAACAATGTTTATTATTTTGTTATATCTAAATTCATTAAGGATCCAAAACCAAATTAAAAAAAAAAAAAAATTCAACTAACCTGGATGTCCTTCACCAACCGATTCGGATGAAAAAAGAAAAATTTCATCCGGTTTTTGATGATTATTATTCGAATCAACTACCATACAATGACCATTTGTAATTGGTGTTGTATGAGTGGTGGTTACAGAATCACCATGTTCATTCGATGATTTCTGTTGCTCATCGTTCAATTCTGGAATCGACATTTTAATTCAAATGATGATGATGATGATGATAATCACAAATTAAATAAAATTACAAAAAAAAATACAAAATTTTAAATTAAATTTTTCAAACAACTAAATTAACAAATAAAAAAAGGAACAAATTCGAAATTTCTAGAAAGGAAAGCCTATACACGATGGCCAAATCCGTATGAGAAAGAAAATACCCTGAAAAATATCAAAAAAAGAAAAAAGAAAAATGTCTAATCTCTAAAAGGATTTCTTGTTTTTATATCGATTTTTTTTTGTTGAATTTATGATAAGAAATTATGGTACGATTTTTTTTCACCATCATAAAAATCATTTTTCATTGATCGATTTTTCTGGATAATCATCAATCCAAACCAAAAAGAAAATTTTTATCAAATTTAAAAAGAAAAAAAAACATACGATTTTTCGTTTTTTGATTATAAACCAGATTTCATCATTTCAGTTCGTTTCTGTGATTTTATTTCATTATTTCTTGTCCTTTTTTGGTTCGCGCCATTTTCTTTCATTCCAATCAAATTTTTTGGCCGTATGAAAGGTACAAAGATCAATGAAATGGAAATTGATCCGGATACATTAAATGGTGAATGAATGATATTGATTGGTTGATTGAATGATTTTAACCAGTTATAAAATCAAGACTTTGTTCCAAACGTAATACATTTTCTACGATCGTTGCTTTTTTTATCATCTCAAAGTACCCATAATATACAAAAATAGTGAAGAAGGAGGCTGTAGAAATTTATCAATTGATGCAATGATATCATTATCAATTGATTGATTGATTGGATGGATGGATGGATGAATGTTTTTTTGTTCGGAAAATGAAACGTGTCTTATTCACAAACTGACCCATGATTTAACCTCGAAAAATGAATGAATGATGAATGAAATTGTATTCGATAATGTCGTCAGATGGGGTCGAAATAGAATCGAATTTCAAATAAATTCGATTTGAAAATTATCACATTTAATGCTTGCTGTGACACATTTTAGGCACATTTTAGGCTCGAAGAAATTTTTCTTCCGTTTTTGTTGTTGTTGTTGTCTATTTACTTTACTTTATTTACCATGATAATCTTTTGATGATGATGATGATGATGAATAAAATTTTAGTGAAATAAACATCATCATCAAACTCGGGGTTGAACGTACGTCAAACGTTTTGAAAACCGTATCGATAACGTTTTGATTATTATGATGATGATGACAATGTAAAAACACCTGAATGATGATGATGAAAAAACAAACACAGAAAAAAAATTAGCTCAAGAAGAACCTGTTTCTGTTTTCTTTGTCGTCGTCGTCGTCGTTTTCGAATCCATGTTGTAGCAGCATTGTATCTTTCACAATCTTTTCAAGTGATTTCGTAATTGTATTTTAAGAATGAATGAATGAATGGTGGGAGCCACAAATCAATGAGCCATGTTTATCCATATTCGTCTTTATGCTATAAAAAAAGAGAGAAATAAACAAACCATTAATAGATAATCTACTCCCACACACAAAATCATTATTTAGATAATTAAATCGAATTTGGTTCAAAAAAAATGACGAAATAATGGTAATTCCAATTTCGAATGACAAATTAACAATCGTCGTTTTCTGAGTTCATTTACCTGTGTTGTGAATTTTGGTTTGTTTATGGTGTATGCGCTTTGGCTTTCGATTCTTTCAAAAAGAATCGCTTGAATTATTGAATAAAAAGTTGAAAAAATTCTTTTGGATTATCATTATTTCCCGGAAGATTGTAAAGTGCAAAAGAGAAAAAAAACCGATTAAAGAAGACAAAGAATTCTTATAAATCAACATACATTATGCTACTACCCGACGGTTGATGATCATCATTATTATTATTATGTCATAGTTCGGTGGATGACATTTCTGTTTTTTTCCGTTTTTCAAAAGTCCAACGCCCTTTCTTCATTTGCTTCGTTACGTTTCATTTATTCTCTTTCATCATTTTTGTTTTGTTTACTTGAAAAAATTCATTCTCAATCGAATGTTGATTTTGTTTTCTCATCCAACGACCAAAAAAAATAATGATGATTCATATCGTTGGCGAAGAATGTTTTGATTCGAAATATTAATANGATGACAATGTAAAAACACCTGAATGATGATGATGAAAAAACAAACACAGAAAAAAAATTAGCTCAAGAAGAACCTGTTTCTGTTTTCGTCGTCGTTGTTTTCGAATCCATGTTGTAGCAGCATTGTATCTTTTACAATCTTTTCAAAATGATTTCGTAATAATATTTTAAGAATGAATGATGGGAGCCACAAATCAATGAGCCATGTTTATCCATATTCGTCTTTATGCTAAAAAAAAGAGAAATAAACAAACCATTAATAGATAATCTACTCCCACACGCACACAATCATTATTCAGATAATTAAATCGATTTTGGTCCAAAAAAACGAAATAGTAATTCCAATTTCGAATGACAAATTGACAATCTATCTATAATCGTCGTCTGAGTTCATTTACCTGTGTTGTGAATCTTGTTGTATTACGGTGGTGGTGGTGGTGTATGCGCTTTGACTTTCGATTCTTTCAAAAGAATTGCTTGAATAATAGTTGAAAAAAATTCTTTTTGGATTATCATTATTTTCCGAAGATTGCAAAGTGCAAAAGAGAAAAAACCGATTAAAGAAGACAAAGAATTATTTAGAAGTTTTCTTCTCAGATCAACAATGCTACTACCCAATGGTTGATGATCATCATTATCATTATTATGTCATAGTTCGGTGGATGACATTTTTCTTTTTTTTTCTGTTTTTTTGTTTTCCGTTTTTCAAAACAAGTCCAACGCCCTTTCTTCATTTTCTTCGTTACGTTTCATTTATTCTCTTTCATCATTTTTTTTTTGTTTACTTGAAAAAATTCATTCGATCGAATGAATGAATGTTGATGATTTTGTTTTCTCATCCAACGACCAAAAAAAAAAAANACACGATGGCCAAATCCGTATGAGAAAGAAAATACCCTGAAAAATATCAAAAAAAGAAAAAAGAAAAAAAATGTCTAATCTCTAAAAGGATTTCTTGTTTTTATATCGATTTTTTTTGTTGAATTTATGATAAGAAATTATGGTTCGATTTTTTTTCACCATCATAAAAATCATAATCATTTTTCATTGATCGATTTTTCTGGATAATCATCAATGCAAACCAAAAAAGAAAATTTTTATCAAATTTTTTAAAGAGAAAAAACATACGATTTTTCTTTGATTATAAACCAGATTTCATCATTTCAGTTCGTTTCTGTGATTTTATTTCATCATTTCTTGTCCTTTTTTTTGGTTCGCGCCATTTTCTTTTATTTCAATCAAATTTTTGGCTGTATGAAAGAGGTACAAAGATCAATGTAATGGAAGTTGATCCGGATACATATGGTGAATGGTGAATGAATGATATTGGTTGATTGATTGAATGATTTTAACCAGTTATAAAATCAAGATTTTAAGTTTCGAAACGAAATTACATTTTCTACGATCGTTGTTTTTTTTATCATCTCAAAGTACCCATAATATACAAATATAGTGAAGAAGGAGGCTGTAGAAATTTAAATTGATGCAATGATATCATTATCAATTGATTGATTGATTGGATGAATGTTTTTTTTTCGGAAAATGTAACGTGTCTTATTCAAAGACTGACCCATGATTTAACCTCGAAAAATATGATGAATGAAATTGTATTCGATAATGACGTCAGATGGGGTCGAAATAGAATCGAATTACGAATAAATTCGATTTGAAAATTATCACATTCAATGCTTGCTGGTGACACATTTTAGGCACATTTTTGGCTCGAAGAAATTTTTCTTCCGTTTTTGTTGTTGTTGTTGTTGTCTATTTACTTTATTTAACATTGATAATCTTTTGATGATGATGATGATAATGAATAAAATTCGAGTTAAATAAACATCATCATCAAACTTGTGGTTAAACGTACTTCAAACGTTTTGAAAACCGTATCAATAACGTTTTGATTATGATGATGACAATGTAAAAACACCTGAATGATGATGAGAAAAAACAGACACAGGGAAAAAAATTAGCTCAAGAAGAACCTGTTTCTGTTTTCTTCGTCGTCGCCGTTTTCGAATCCATGTTGTAGCAGCATTGTATCTTTCACAATCTTTTCAAAATGATTTCGTAATATCATTTTAAGAATGAATGAATGAATGATGGGAGCCACAAATCAATGAGCCATGTTTATCCATATTCGTCTTTATGCTAAAAAGAAACAGAAATAAACAAACCATTAAAGACGAATAAGATAATCTACTCCCACACACACAAAATCATTATTCAGATAATTAAATCGATTTTGGTCCAAAAATAAAAAACGAAATAGTAATTCCTATTTCGAATGACAAATTGACTCAATCTATAATCGTCGTATGAGATCATTTACCTGTGTTGTGAATTTTTGGTTTATTCTATGCGAATGGCGGTGGTGGTGGTGTATGCGCTTTGGCTTTCGATTCTTTCAAAAAGAATCGCTTGAATAAAAGTTGAAAAAATTCTTTTGGATTATCATTATTTCCCGAAGATTGCAAAGTGCAAAAGAGAAAAAAACAAAGATTAAAGAAGAATTATTTACAAGTTTTCTTCTCAGATCAACAATGCTACTACCCGACGGTTAATGATCATCATTATCATTATGTCACAGTTCGGTGGATGACATTTTTCGTTTTTTTCTGTTTTTTGTTTTCCGTTTTTCAAAACAAGTCCAACGCCCTTTCTTCATTTTCTTCGTTACGTTTCATTTATTCTCTTTCATCATTTTTTTTTTGTTTACTTGAAAAAATTCATTCTCAATCGAATGATGATTTTGTTTTCTCATCCAACGACCAAAAAAAAATAATGATGATTCATATCGTTGGCGAAGAATGTTTTGATTCGAAATATTAATATCAATCATTCGGATTCATTATTCAGTTTATTCGTTCGTCGACAAAAGTGACCATTAAAAAACTACCACCAAAGCATTCATCGATCAATCAAGCAAGTTTTATTTTCTTCAAGAATCCAATCCAATCGGAAAAAAATGATACCATTCAAAATGAATCCATATCAAATTCGTCGTTATTTAAAATTATCATTAATCATCACTATAATCATGTTCCTAATATATACAATTATTGAATTATTAATTATCAAACAATATTATATTAGACGTTATGTTTATTTACATTAT